TTACAGGAATTTCGAGAAGTGTTTATTCCACTTCCATTTTCATGTGTAGTGAAAATGAAAATGTTCATTTAGCCTTCGTATGTATTTGAAACGAATTATAATCACATAACAAAATGGTAGACACATTTTTCAATATGGCGGCCATTCAGGACAGAAGTCTATACTCGAAGTAGATAGCTCTCTGGGTTGAGAATGAGGTAAATCTGCCTATTGCAGATCTTTATTTAGGCTTCAAATGTTATATTATTTATCAATTGGACATTTATTCAAGGATGGCTGAGATTTATATGGATTAAACACTATCACTATTTAATGATTCAATTTAAAAAAGGGGAATACAAAAATAAACGACCTATAGTGCTAAATCTTGTCAAAATAAAGTGATTCAAATATTTTCAAATTATTCATTTTACATTATCTATTTTCGAACTATTATAGAAAGAATGACCAGCCCTTTATCTAAATCTTACATAATTTATCTTTAATGACAAGTCATCTAATATATACTTTAAACTAATTATCAACTAGATATTGTATATAACACATGACACAATTATGTGGAATTTATATCTGGTTTCTAAATATAATTATCTCTGATTGTATATTCATATTTTGTATATATATTTTCATTGTACTATGGTTGTCATTCTTTGCTTGATGGGGGTTGGGTGGCCGAATGGTTAGCACGTGCGTGCTGTATCATACGGCCTGTCATTGAGTCAACTGGCGTGGTTTCGAATCCCCGGTTGTACGTGACAAGGAGTGGGGTCGCTTGTCCAACCTCGTGGGTTTTCTCCGGGTCCTCCGGTTTCCTCCCATTGCTAAAGACCCCTACGCGCAAGCGAATTATTGATATAAAATTAAAACCATATGTTAGTCCTGAAATGACCTAGTTTGTGTCGAGTGGACATTAAACCCCATTTCTCTCTCTCTCTTTGCTTGATAAAGACGGGAGAACCCTCGAAACGTCACTAAAATAAACTCTTCAAGTGACTTGTATTCTATACAATTGTGTCATGTGTTATTCTCAAGACCCCTACGCGCAAGCGAATTATTGAAATAAAATTAAACCATACGTTAGTCCCGAAATGACCTAGTTTGTGTCGAGTGGACTTTAAACTCCATTCCTCTCTCTCTGTCAGCCAGTTACTAAATGCTGTATAAACAATAGATATTATGTATTTTAAAATACCTGGTATCTGAAATACTGGTATATGTGTCAAAATATATTTAGTTTGAAGCAATGAAATGATATGAAATGGCATTTAAAATCCTATATTTTTGCACCAACTGACACTGGTAACCTGATACTGTTAACTTATGAACCTGAGCTTTTTAGTAATGACAAATTTTGTCATTAAATCATATACAATTTATCATAACTGATGTTTAGTATGGTCAGTATTCTAAACTAATGTTTAGTATGTATAGAAAGTGGTTAGAAATTATACAGTTGTCATGAACTAGCTGTAAAAGATGTCACTATTGGTTTAAAAGCATGATAATTTATAACAGCCATCACTATTGAATACATAAACCTAGACAATAGTGGTGTATATCATTCAATAGTCACACTTTTAACACCTTAGTGACATAACCCTTACTTAATGACTACTGTCTGATTAGGGTACTAGCAATTTTAATTAACTAATACACATTATGTATATAAACTGATGACTTTGATCTATTAGTTAGGGGGGTTGGGATGGCCTAGTGTTCTAGAGTGCCACAATTCGACCTCTAGTTGGCCGGTCACCTCTGGCTTGCGGCTGTGGTTTCGATCCCTGGTGTGAGCGTATGTGGCTTGGAGATAGGGGCGCCTTCTCAACCTTGTGGGTTTAGACCGGGTACTCCGGTTTCCTCCCACAGCAAAAACCCCTGCGCATGCGCTAAGATCATTAAAATGAAAATAAAGACAACATTTACGACTATATGCCAAATTGCCAGTAAATCCACTCGACACAAACTAGGTCATTTCAAAACTAACATATGGTTCAATTTTATTTCATTAATTCGCTTGCGCGTAGGGGTCTTTAGCAGTGGGAGGAAATCGGAGGATGTGGAGAAAACCCAAGAGGTTGGACAGACGAACCTACTCCTTGTCACGTACAACAGGGGATTCGAAACCAAGCGAATTATTGAAATAAAATTAAACCATATGTTAGTCCCGAAATGACCTAGTTTGTGTCGAGTGGATGTTAAACCCCATTTCTCTCTCTCTCTCTCCCTCTCTAATGTTTTTAATCTGAAGCAATGAAATAAAACGAAATGAAATGGGGTTTAACGTTCTACCTTTTTGCCACAATTGGGCTAATAAGTCAGTGAATGAAATGGGGTTTAACGTCCTGCTGTTCTGCTCCGACTGGGCTAATGAAGATGGGCATACACCATACAGTGTGCTATGGGGGAAATTTTGCCCGGGCAGCGGCACTAAGGCCTACTCTTATATCGAATTCCAACTGCCAAGGGATCTTTAACGTGCATGCCAATGTGTACACGGGACCACAGTTTAGCATCCCATGAAAATGACTAGACAGCTGTCCTTGTCAGACTCTCCGTCCTGCACCACTGACAAGGGGAAATCACGCCCGAAAATCTTGATAAACTTTCTCATGCGATACTGGGAGTGAACCCGCGACCTCCAGGCTAGCGAGCCAGCATCTTACTCACTTAGCCATCACAGCTCCCAAAGTCAGGTATTGCCAATCAAATCATTGGTTTTACAGACAGAAAAGGACTGTAATTTGCAAATTGTTCTGCGGAAAACATCACATAAATTGTCAAATTGGGATAATAATATCCAGGTCACAATTCTATGGAATACAATTACTGAGCTATGTTTCGACTAGGCTTCACTTACGATTGATTAATTATGAGCTTTTTTCTTTACAGGTCGTCCATTAATTAAATTGTATTATTTTCAGGTAAAGTAATCTGTATCATATTGGATGTTGTTATTAGTTCTACTCCAATCAACTTTGATCACTTTCATGATAATTTTACGTTAATTAAGTTAGGTTTCCTTCAAGGTAATTAGAAGGGTGTCTCTGGTTGTTCAGAATTAACCTGGTATTGTTTTACCAATCTGATTAAAACACAGATCTTGTTTCGTTTCTTTTTGTATAGTTCAATACTTCGTTTTACTTGTCTTTACTACACTAGGATCTGGAAGAGTTGTTATATTACCAGCGTTCTGGTTGAAGTGATGGATTAGCCAATAAAACAGTCTGTTAAGCCAAATTTCTGGCGTGAGATGCAAGGAAGTGTGGGTAAACCACTAGAAAACGTCAACGCTGATTGATTAATCAATATCTGACGTCATAAGGTCAAAAGCAACTCGTATGACCCCGACACGACCTCCTACTACAAATGGTCAGATCTTCATGTAGTAGAGGCTATCGAAAGTATAAAAAAAACGGGTTCGATCATGGTGTTGGCTGAGATTGTCTATTGGAATTTTCCAGCGTTGTTTCCCCATGTCAGTGGTGCAGGACAAAGGGCCTGACAAGGACAGCTGTCTAGTCGTTCAGATGGTATGAAAAACCGAAGTCCTGTGTACACATTGGCATGCACGTTAAAGACCCCTTCGCAGTTAGAATTTAATATAAGAGTAGGTCATAGCGCCGCTGTCCGGACAAAATTGCCCTCATATCACACTGTATGGCATATGCCCGTCTTCTTTAGCCCAGTTTGGAGCAGAACAATAGGACGTTAAACTCCATTTCATTTCATTTTTGTATTTCTAGTTCAAATGTCATTAAAACAAATAGAAACACTTTTTATTCCAGCTTGTCATGCCACTGGAAATTGGGGATTATAGAGTAGATTTAAATCAACAGTTTTTCAATAATATCGACAAATACTGCACCGATATGAATAGTTAAAGTGTTTAACTTGGTTTTAAGCAGTTATTGTCTGGGTAAATACCTGTAGATTATAGTATCTGTAAGGCTTAACATTGTGTTTCTAAGAGCTGTCAACATCACATACCTATACGCTTATATACGGTTTACACATTGATTTAGCTAGAACAAACAGCACGGTCCTGCGGAGACTCAATCAGGAAAGATTTGTTTTAAGTGTCCCCTAATCTTGTTTTATTTTAGAAATGTTTAGTGGAGTTATGTATCTATTAGAGATGTTTTAATCCAAACATAGAAACAAAAGTATCTTAACAGATATTTAACATTTCATTCTCAGAATTCTATCAGAGATAATTTAACGGCTTTGAAATGTACATAAGAATTCCATTTCATGGGTATTTTTGAAAAATTCCTCGAAGCGAGATGCATAAGATTTTAATTAAAATGTTTAACACGAAATGAAAACAATCATAATAGAGGAAATTTAGGAAATGAAAATGAAATGGGGTTTAACATCCTACTGTTCTGCTCTGACTCGTATAATGAAGACGGCATACACCATGCAGTGTGCTATGAGGGAAATTTTGCCCAGACAGCGGCGCTTCGGCCTACTCTTATAACGAATTTCAACTGTCAAGGGATCTTTTATGTGCACTTCAATGTGTACATGGGACCTCAGTTTTTCATCCCATCCAAACGACTAGACACAAGGGGAAACCACTCATAATAGAGGTCTTGGTAAGCATGTCACTGGCTCACTAACTGTGAGGGACCAGGTTCGATCCTGGTTTTGGCGGAGAAAGTTCCCCAGAATTTTCCAGCTTGGTTTTCCGTTGTCAATGGTGCAGGACGGATGGACGGCCTGCTAAGAAAAAGATGATAATAAAAACCAAGTTCCTTTGTATACCATTGGCCACACTTTAATGATCCCCAGGCAGTTGGAATTCAAAACAAGAGTAAGCAGCAGCACTTCTGTCAGGGTAAAATCTCCCTCATAGCAGACTGCAAGTCAATATTTCTAGGACAGTGGCACTCTTATATTGAATTCCACTGTCAAGGAGTCTTAACATGCACACAGTGGAGTAGGACATCGATGCTTAGTTGCAATTTTTTTGAACATTTCATAATGGAACTTACCTTAGCTTGGAAGAAATTTTTGGCTCCGCCTACACCTTCTACATCAACATCGATCTCTTGAACGTTACGATACAGGTCTAATAAACCACTCTCCTGACTTAATTCACCACTTGCAGCTTTACGGAATATCAGTAAAAACTGAAAATAAAATTCTAAATCTTTGAGTGGCATTTAAATGTGATTTTAGAGTAAAAACAGAAACGATTGAATGTAAATCAGTTTATATACATACATATTACATTATTACGCTGCAACCCATTTGTCTCAATTTCTAGGTCCGAAATATAAGCGATTCAGCTCCTTTAAATAACTGGTAGGCATGGTATAATCTTTGATTGTATCATTGCTTGATAATGGTGAGAGTATCCTCACTGAAACGTTGCAGTTAATAAACCTAGTGAATTTTATCCATAAAACTGTTATTGTGGTATTAAATTAAAAGTGGGCGTGTAAGAGTCTTTAAAGAGAGAGAGAGAGAGAAATGGGGTTTAACGTCCACTCGACACAAACTAGGTCATTTCGTGACTAACATATGGTTTAATTTTATTTCAATAATTCACTTGCGGTCTTTAGCAGTGGGAGGAAACCGGAGGACCCGGAGAAAACCCACAAGTTTGGAAAGAATATGTAGACTTTGTGTAGTACTAAGTAAAATCCAAAACTGTGATGTATTAACTCCTTACTTAAGAGTGCTGCTGATGAGTGGAAGAATTCCTGTACATTAAAGGAAAGATCAGTCCCCAAGTTCACCAAACATTATCAGATTTAAGTTATTTACTTAACTTACAATTACTGTTTATGAGAAATATCTTTGATCCAGAAACACAAAACTTTGCACATAGTTTTTTATTGATGTTTTTGATACATTAAAACAACAAAAGTTTTATAAAGGGCTATATTTTAGTTTAAATAAGACAAACAATTTAGAGTAAATTCTTAACTTAAGTCTGAGAATGTTTTGTGAACTCGGGGTCCGATCTCATTGACTAGGATGGGGATGAAATATAAATAAAAAATAAAATATTTCCCAAATATCTTACCTCTCTAAAACTAATTTTACTATCATGATCTTCATCTACTTCTTTTATCATTTCCTTTAACGACAGGTGTGTCTGAGGTACACCTAACTTCTCCATCATCAGTTTTAACTCATGGAAATCTATAAACTTATCTTTACCTACATCATATCTGAAATAATAAACAAAAAGAAATGAAATGGGGTTTAACATCCTACTGCTATACTGGGCTAACAAAGACAAGCATACACCAATGAGTAATGAAATGAAATGGGGTTTAACGTTCTACTCCGACTGAGCTAACGAAGATGGGTATACGCCAATGAGAAATGAAATGAAATAAAATGGGGTTTAACGTCCTACTGTTCTGCTCTGACTGAGCTAACGAAGACGAGCATACACCAATGATAGATAAAATGAAATGGGGTTTTAACATCCTACTGTTCTGCTCCGACTGGGCTAACAAAGACAAGCACACACCAATGAGAAATGAAATGAAAAGGGGTTTAACGTTCTACTGTTCTGCTCCGACTGAGCTAATGAAGACGGGGGTGTACGCCAATGAGAAATGAAATGAAATGGGGTTTAACGTCCTACTGTTCTGCTCCGATTGTGCAAATGACGACAGGATGAAATTGTAACATCATACTGAATATAAGTTTTTTGTACGCTGCCTCAGTGTGCAAGAAGCTGGCTTGCATGCGTGGAGGTCCCTGGTTCGAACCCAGTGATGGCGTAGTAGTAGTTTCTCCTTGTGGAGGACAAAGGGCCCGACAAGGATTGAAGGAACCTGATCTAGTCATTTGGATGGGATGTAAATCATATCGAGTATTAAATACTTGATTTGATTGTTTTTTTATTGTGTGTTGTGTGTGAAGCTGGCTCATTAACTAAGAGGGTCTTTGTTCGAACACTTTAGTGTTGGGTATTGCCACTGCTGTCACGATATGATATGTATTGCGATTCAGATGCTACGATACGTTTTGTATCATAATTCATAACCAGGTCAATATTTACCAAGAAAACAACAGGATAAATGAATAATTGATATTTTGAAATAAAATTGTTTTATATCATGTATCATGATATTGATGTGGATCAAAATAATGTGTATCTATGAATAATGTGTGACGGGGATAGTGACAGGTTACGGTACTTATTGAAGCAACAAAAATAAAAAAGAATTGCGATACATCGATTCAGTGTCTCACGATTCAATACGCGCTAATCATGAGAAGGTGAAGGTCAGGAAAGTTAAATGTGGTGGAGGATGACGAGACTCAGAAAGTATCTTAATAGTAAAGTTTGAACATGATTGAGTTATTTTTAGCTATCCTTTTAGACACAGGATTAGGTCTAACCTTAAGTGCTGCATCACTTAATCTTATCCGGGTTTGTCATATTGTGGGTGAAATGTCTGTTTGTGTACATGTACGTGATGATGATGTTTTCCTGCGCTTACAAACAGCAAAGATGGTTGTTCTCTAGGTTATATTTTTGAGAGGATTTTGCCAAGGCACTGGAACATGAATGATGAGGTTGAAACTGACACACAAATAAATAAACATATGCTCTCTTATTACATAAATAATTTTCTTTATATAAATTTATTAAATTCGTCCCAATGAATGAAGGAGCCTATGTATTATTTTTTTGTCGATTGGGAATTGCTAAAAAATGTTCACACCTCTACTCAGAACTAAAATAATAATGGTTTCATTGAAAACCCGTTGAACACTGGGTTGTATAAATTTATGAATTGATGAAGTAGAGAACTTATTTTTAATATTTTTATTTTAAAATCAGAGATACGGTAACTGAAAACTTTAGTTGTGATAGTTCTAGAATTACATCGCTCTGTTTCGAAGTGACCGGTACTGTATCTATGCTGGTTTTAAATCAAAATCTCCAATGACTTTGAATAAGTGGGTAAGATTTGGGTTGCTAGCCTGGAGGTCGCGTGTTCGATCCCTGCATTGGCCGAGAAAGTTATCAGGATTTTCCGAGTGGTCTCCCCATGTCAGTGGTGCAGGAAGGAGGGCCTGACAAGGACAGCTGTATAGTCATTTAGACGGGACAATAAACTGAGTTCCCATGTATACATTGGCATGCACGTTTAAAGATCCCTTGGCAGTTGGAATTCGATATAAGAGTAGGCCATAGTGCCGCTGCCCGGGCAAAATTTCCCTCATAGCACACTACTGTATGGCGTTTGCCCTTCTTCATTAGCCTAGTCAGAGCAGAAAAGTAGGGCATTAAACCCTTTTCATTTCGTTTCCAATTCCAATGGCTTTGAACAGTGAGTGAGGGTTTCTTATTGTAGGCCTATGAACATCAGATAAAAATAAAGTTATCTTATTTATGTAATATATGAAATAATATAGTAGCCTGTTTCTATGGGTTTAGCTCTATTACTATTATGAATAACAACACTCACTACGTGATTAATAGGCCTCTATCGATAACCCTATTCAGTGTTACTACAAATTGTACAATAATTTTGTGTCATACGGGTCACTGAACATATCGTATTCGTAACTGAACCTAGCTGATTTTAAAAACATCCACGGCCGTGTCGTACTCACTTATTAAATGTCTTTTGGAAATCCTGTATTTCCTTTCGGCTAAACTCTTTAAATTCTGTGTATGGATTGAACACCTGCAGTGATGGTTGAACCGCTGGAACAGTTCCATTTTCTGCGTCCTCACTTTCATTGATGAGAATCCGTCGATTCAGTTTGTTAGCAAGTTCGTCGGTGGCCATTTCGACACTTTTGGTATAATATTTACTGTAGCCAACACACTGGTAGCACTACGGAAACAACAAATGTACACCCCTATAGCCTAATCATCCAATTTGTATTTAACTTCTCTGTTGAGTGTCGAAGCGAAATGCTCCTTCCTTAATCGACCAACCATGAGAAATATCCTATCACGTGACTACGTTATTGTCAGAAACGTCAAAGGTTATGCATGGAATCCCCCTCATTAAGAATGTACCGTTGTTTTCCCCGGCTGTCATTTATCAGTGAAACGTAATGCTAACTGACGGAGGTTTGTCAGATTGAATCTTAAATGGGGCTGTGATAAATTTCAGTGTCGAATTTATCGTACACAATGATTTGTAAAGCTCCCATTAAAGATATGATCGGTGAGCGCTAGATTACAAATGAAGAGACGTATAATATCCCCAGGCAAAATATTACACTGTACAATGGTTGAGTGGCAAAAGAGAGCGCCATAATATGTAAATTTGTTTGTATACATTTATATTACGTACCGTACATTAATATATGCTTTTCATTTTCAACACATTTTTCTTCTAATATTAAGGTCACGATACTGTGCATCTCTCGATCAATGCGCCAGACGGGGACTGGGGGCATCGCACACTCCCCTTTAAGGAGTTATATTTAAAAGCTTTAAAGGTGCCTTTCCGAGTAGGCCTATATAGCTTACAAACTGTGTGAGTTGATAATATATTTGGATTAAAAATATATTCAAACTAATTTATCTACCAAAAAACAACAACAACGACAACAACGACAACAACAAAAAAACCATCAAAAAACAACAACAGAAAACATTGTAATCTCAAGAAAATTAACGAACCCCAAGCCGTAAAAGTATATTTTCTAGTAACATATTTGGGCGTTTCTGTTTTCCATATTATATATAAAATTTGTCTATACTTCTATTAGAAATAACTACTCTACAAATACCTTCGTGGGAATGCATCTATCAACATGTGACCCGTGAGGCAAGATGGGTCGCAATGAGGAAATTTTGAAAATTGACAACCGAAATCATTTCGCCGTTTTTAATTATTTTGTTAATAGTGTGTGTTCTTTATCCAAGTCAGACTCGGGAGCCGCGGTGGCTCAGTGAGTGACATGAAATGATATGGGGTTTAACGTCCTACTGTTCTGCTCCTATGCTGGGCTAATGAAGACGGGCATACGCCATACAGTGTGCTACGAGGGAAATTTTGCCCGGGCAGCGGCACTATCGCCTACTCTTATATCGAATTCCAACTGCCAAGGGATCTTTTACGTGCATTCCAATGTATACACGGGACCTCGGTTTTTCGTCTCATCCGAAAGACTAGACAGCTGTCCTTCGTTCTGCATCACTGACAAGGGGGAACCACGCCGGAAAATCTGGATGAACTTTCTCGGCCAATGCAGGGATCGAACACCCGACCTCCAGGCTAGCGAGCCAGCGTCTTACCCACTTAGCCCAGTGAGTGGCTAAATCTATTTGTTAAGGCCAGCTCAATTTTTGTCAAGGTCGGTGAGATTGTAAATATGGGCACGTGATTGTTGGCGAGATTGTAGGGTAAGCAGTGGGGCAAGGTCCAGGGTTAGGGTTGGGGTTGGGTTTAGCGCTAGCCCTGTTTGCATCTTGTGACCTATGACGAAAAATTGGGCCGGCCTTATCATTTAGCACTAACGTGCTAATCTGGAGGTTCATTTTATTATCCAAGACACCCAATTCTCGTATTTCGCCGAAAATCCCGTCGCCGTCATTATAGTGCCCTGGATTAGTTGGAGAAAGTCGATATTATATTAATGCTACAACCTACTGACATTCAAATAACTCCCAGTTGACGCCATTGTATAAATCAATTACGAGAAGTGGGGTTTAACGTCCTACTTTTCTGCTCCGACTGGGATAACGAAGACAGACCATACGTACAGTGTGTTATAAGGGAAATATTGCCCGGACAGCGGCACTACGGCCTACTCTTATATCGAATTCCAACTGTCAAGGGATCTTTAATGTGTATGCCAATGTACACGGGACCTCAATTTTTCGTCCCACCCGTATGACTATATATATAAGTTCTTCCATCGCAAGGCCCCCGGTCTTGCACCACCAACAATGAGGAACCACGACGGAAAATCGGTTTATGAAATAGTTTCTTTAATTACAAATGGGTGCATAGGGTATGCAGGGATGCCCCCCCCCCCACACACATTAACAGGTAGTTTTAGCCCCCCCCCCCCATCCCACCATGTTCACATCCAAGGTTTATTTTGAGTGAAATTAAGGCATTTTTACTTAACAGGACTAGAGCAGGGCATTAAACCCCATTTCATTTCAATTTATGTAACGCCGGTTGTGGTTTGCCAGGCTTGTATATTATAAAATCTTGGTCTATATCATTTTCAGTAAAGATGTGAATGTTTTTCATTAGGCTGTCTGAATGAGCAATTTGTGATTTATTTATAAACCGTTGTATTTAACCTATTCACACGATGAGTCACCCTGAAAGACAAGAAACTTGTAGTCGGTTTGTCTACTTAAAGCGTGTTAAAATGACACACAATTTACTCATAAATAAATAATCAGTGATGATAGTCGTAATTAGTCATCATTTTAATATTACTAACACTTTTCACTGCTTGACACGAGAGAGAGAGAGAGAGAGAGAGGGGGAGAGTTTATTGTCCATTATCACACTGATCAATAGTGAATATTCGCTAGTCCGCTACATTCACTGATATATAGGGATGACATCGATATGGCTTAATGAGCCCCTAATATTAACTTTTTTCCTTCTGCAAATTAAATTCTAGAACATGTTTTTAAACAATAGAAAAATAAATAAAGGTGTTTCAAGTATCCGTATGTAAAAAATGGAGAGAATGGAGTTTTACGTCCACTCGACACAGACTAACTCGGGACTAACATGGTTCAATTTTATTTCAATAATTCGCTTGCACGTAGGGGACTGTAGCAGTGAGAGGAAAGCGGATGACCCAGAGAAAACCTACGATGTTAGACATTCAACCCTACTCCTTGTCACGTATAAGCGGGGAATGGAAACCACCCCATTTGACTTAATGACAAACCTTATGTTCTAACGCGCACACGTTAAACCATTCACCCCCACCCCTCATTGTTTGATAAAAAATTCAAAGGCATTTTTTTTAGTAAAATAAATAGTGGGGAAAATATACCACCAGGCCACCAAGAAAATTTTTATGGGCCGGAGCTAGACAAATTTTGCCCCCCGCCCCCGCCCCCTCCCAGAGTAGGGAAGCGGGGATCGGAGAGAGGGCCCTGTGGCACTTAAAACAATGACGATATACTATATTTATGGACGCCATGAGATTTCATGGTCCCCGGAGCGATGTACTGGCTGCATCCCCTCTCCTTTGGTCTGTGCCCCCTGCTAAAAAAAAATGCCTCATTATTTTTTTTTAGAAAAATAAAAAAAGGTGGAGCAATAGCGATGATGTCAAGAGAAATTCACACGCTTTTATTATTATTTGAGAGAAGAGAAGTAATATATTCAGGTAAACAAGTCATTTGTAACACAGCAGGTATACTGAATTGAAAACAATTTTCTTTATTTATGTTATTTACACTGAAAATGATTTATGGGGTCACTGTCATATTCTGACAGGATTTGTATTTATTATAGTAGTAGATAACCATGAAATGAAATTGAAATGGTGTTTAACGTTCTACTGTTCTGCTCCTATACTGGGCTAATGAAGACGGGCATACGCCATACAGTGTGCTATGAGGGAAATTTTGCCCGGGCAGCGCACTATCGCCTACTCTTATATCGAATTCCAACAGCCAAGGGATCTTTTACGTGCATTCCAATGTATACACGGGACCTCGGTTCTTCGTCTCATCCGAAGGACTAGACAGCTGTCCTTGTCAGGCCCTCCGTCCTGCATCACTGACAAGGGGGGGGGGGGCACGCCGGAGTATTTAGTAATAATAGCCTAACCATGAACTGAAATGAAATGGGGTTTAACGTTCTACGTTTCTGCAACACACGGGACAATTCAGCCGAACATTCGCCACCAAGTGTCACATGATAGACTGTGAATTTGGCCCTGACAGCGAATTTTTCACGACAAAGGCACATTAAAATGGAAAATCTCCGATTGAAAGACTGTTTTAGACGAGTTATCTGCCCCTGAACTTGATACGTGAAAAAGAACGCGATCGACTTTACTCACAATACTGAGCCTCGGCTTTTTTTTTTTTTTAAAGAGATTTTCCATTTTACAACGAGTAACACCACCCGGGGCTGCAGCATTAGTGTGGGTCAAATATACAGAGGTCCATCTTGGTATTCGAAACAATCGCGCGGACATATGGGCAGGTAGAAGCCGTCCGTTGGGAGAGAGATGAGAGAGGGGGGGGGGGGGGTAACCTCCACTCGACACAAACTAGGTTATTTTGGGACTAACACATGGTTAAATTTTATTTCAATAATTGCTTGCGCGTAGGGGTCTTTAGCAGTGCGAGGAAACCGGAGGACCCTGAGAAAACCCACGAGGTGGGACAGGCAACCCTACTCCTTGTCACGTACAACAAGGGAATCGAAACCACGCCAGTTGACTCAATGACAGACTTTATGATACAACACGCACAAGCTAATCATTCGGCCATCCACCCTCCAACTCTAAAATAATATATAAAACAAAGTACATGTATAGTTTATTTTAAAAAAACAAATTTAATCATCAGAATGTTGACAAATTTAACAATCACGAGATCGATCATAAAACCATATAAATTAAACAAGGAATGGTTACACACTATATTTAGTATTGTTAAAGAATTTTCCGACGTGGTTTCCCTTTGTTAATAGTGCAGGACCCAAGACCTGGCAAGGTCAGTGTCTAGTCGTTCGTTTTGGTGCAGGGGCGGATTCAGAAATTTTTGCAGGACCGGATTTGCCATGTTCATGTTAGGAAATATGCACCACCATCGTCTTCAAATTACGTATAGGCATACATGCACACCGAGTTTTATAAAGACAAAAATCAAACACCCTGTTTGACGTCCATTGTTATTATGAATTACTAGGAGCACATTGTGCACCGAATAATAATTGTTGGACCAATGAGCAACATCGAATACGCGTCTGTCCCAGGTACACCGAACAGTAATTGTTGGAACAATGAGGACAGAGTAATATTCGTCGGCCCAATGAGCATCGAGAAATAATCGTCGGACCAATGAGCATCGAGAAATAATCGTCGGACCAATGACCACAGTGCAATAAATATGAACCACACAGCACCAAACTAAAATCATCGTTGGAGTGGACGCCCAACTATAGATCATTGACTGGTCCCCATTCATACAAACGAGATATTGTGTGTTCTAAATACAAATTAAAAGTAGATCCATTATAGACAAAACAAGCGCCGTATAATTCAAAACAATCTCCGACATTACACATACATGTATTTCGGATGTGTCAGGTTAAAGCCGCATTATGCAAGTGTTTAATATATTTCCGGCTTCAAATTTTATATAAATTATTATTTAGATATGTATTCATATGATAAGCCCATAATCATCTCTCTAGACCATTGGGTGGCCAGGGTATTGAGTGAATTAGACCATGCCCGTCTGATCGGTATTAAACGCTTATATATGACCGGTCAAGCCGAAATATTCAAAAATGCACGACGTCATTTTGTCAGTTAAAGGCCCAACTACCGTCTTGATTAGCCCAGTGAGTGCATAAAAATAGGACGGTGAAGCCCGAATTTATTTCTTTAATTCGTCGGTGAAATAATACGAAACCGGTCACATTCATATCAAGGACGCCTAAAAAGTTAGGGTACAATATAAGGGTCGAAGGTCAAATTTTTGCTGGTTAATTAAGTTATGCTTTAATCTCACTAATCCGTCGATATTCAGCAGTGGATAATTTATGACAATCTGGCATACAGACCAAGGAATCTTCAAACCCGTCTTTATTTAGCAACCAGTATGTTTCCATGTGACCTTTGCCCTGTAATAAATACACACATACATCTTAATAGTTATTCGTAATGGGGGTGGGGATGGGTAGTTGGATGCCAGAATGGTTATCGTGTGCGCGCTGTATCATAAGGTCTGTCATTGAGTCAACTGGCGTGGTTTCGATTTCCCGGTTGTATGTGACAAGGAGTTGGTTCGCCTGTCCAACTTCGTGGGTTTTCTCAGGGTCCTCCGGTTTCCCCACTCTGCTAAAGGCCCCTACGCGCAAGAGAATTATTGAAATAAAAAAATGAACCATATGTTAGTCCCGAAATGACCTAGTTTGTGTCGAGTTGGACGTTAAACGCCATTTATTCCACTTCCATTTTCATATGTACTACATGTAAAAAATTTATTTAGTCTTTATGTGTATGAAACGAATTATAACCGCATAACAAAATGTTAGTCATTTTCATTTAATACAATTGTAAAGATTTAATTAGTCTCCTTGGGTATAAAAGATGTGAACCGAAGTAGGACCATATTACAAAACAGTATACTATTTGTTGGATATTGCGGCCATTTAGGGCTGAAATCTATTCTTGAAGTATGGAGTAGATGGATCACTGTATGCAGAATGTTTTTTGTAGAGACTACGATTACCCAGCAGTGTTACGAGGGCTAAATCTATTTGTTAAGGCCAGCTCAATTTTCGTCAAGGTCACTAAAGGGTTAAATTAAGGTTTGGGCACGTGATTGTTGGCGAGATTGTAAGTTGGGATTAGAGCTAGCCATGTTTACATCTCGTGACCTTGAAGCAAACTTGAAGTGGGCCTTATCAAATAGATCTAACCATGTTGCGAGAAATGGGGTTTAACGTCCCATCGACACAAACTAGGTCATTTTGGGACTAACATATTGTTAGTGCTTAAAATCCAAAGCATTATAATACGGGGTAAAGTCTAGAGCTTTAAGGCCGACTGCAGATTTCGTTATATGCAATCTGTATGGTGGCTGAAAGCGTCCATTTAGATCGGCGGGTTTCTAGATACAACGCGAGAGTCGCCGTTAAGCCAGCATGACGAAAAAGGCGCCGATCGGCGACTTTTTCGTCGTACTACCTTATCGGCGACCCGCGACTTTCACAACACGAGAGTCGCCGTTAAGCCACACGTCGAAAAAGTCGCCGAAAAAATCGGCGCCTTTTTCGGCGACTTGCTTAACGGCGACTCTCGCCTCGGAAGTTTATAGTTAGTTACATGCGCAATGGCTACATTTTACGCACACAGATCACCAAATATTTCTACGCCGTAATGTAGGGCGAAAGTTATTTTTAGTCTTTCTCTCCCTTTTCCCCCTTTTGCATGGCAATTTTTGGTGTAGAATCGAAGAAATGGGTTTGAAAATACATTTTCTGCCAGGTTTTGGTGAATATTCATGATTTTGAGAGGTCGGTTAGGTTGAAATGTAGGGTCGAAAATTGCATGTTTACTTGTCCCTACTTCCAGCTTGTGTATTTCAAGTTTTTCATGGTAAACCTCAGACATGCTTTTGTGCAAGAGTTTGCCACATTTTGCTCCATCTGTGGCAGAAAGTAGGCTAGCCTACAAGTCCTAACTCATCCAAAAGCTCCTCCATTTTATATACAAGAAGTAAAATGTAGCCATTGCGCATGTAACTAACTATAAACTTCCGAGGCGAGAGTCGCCGTTAAGCAAGTCGCCGAAAAAGGCTTAACGGCGACTCTCGTGTTGTGAAAGTCGCTGGTCGCCGATAAGGTAGTACGACGAAAAAGTCGCCGATCGGCGCCTTTTTCGTCGTGCTGGCTTAACGGCGACTCTCGCGTTGTATCTAGAAACACGCCGATCTAAATGGACGCTTTCAGCCAGCATAAATCTGGGCCCTGTTTCACGAAATTTTAACTAAAAATAAAATCCAAATTTTAGTAGATACTTCAATTTTGATTGGCTAAGCATTAAAATCAATTTAATATTACCCAATCAAATTACTAAAATTTGGATTTTATCTTAGTTAAAATTCCGTGAAACAGGTCCCTGGGCAGAAAAGGACATTATCAATTTCGGAGTTATCCCCCTTTGATGCGAAAAATTGTTAGTATCGTAAACGTTTTCGGAATTTTATAATGGTTGTCTATATTGTACGTCTTCATTAGCCCAGTCGGTGCAGAAAAGTAGGACGTTAAACCCCATTTCATTTCACTAACCTTGACTTCGACAACTCCTCTTTTGATTGTTCTAAAGCCACCGATCTGCTGAAGAATCGCCTGAGTTATCCAACTAAGTTGGATGCGATCAGCTGAAATTGTAAAAAGGTTACTGATTTCATATCGGACAAATGTACTGGGATGTGTTTCCATTAGGGGCTAAGTCAAAGTGAGAGGGGCGCAATGACGAGCTTTGCGTCATGGTTTTGAGTTTTTGCGCCCTTGAATTTTTGCGCCCATTCGCAAATGGCAAAAAATCACGCGGTTTCAATGTGGTTTTCAACAGCATAATCATAATCAAAACGCTCAACCAATTTCAAACATATACCGTGGGTCAGATATGCTACAAATCGTCCATATAGTATGTTCCACACAGCCATATATTACTCGGCGGCACTGGGACACCCCCCCCCCCCGGAAACACACACAAATTTAAATATTGTTTTTGGGGACCGGACAGAATCTTGTTCCTCATGCAAAATTATGGGTCACCACGCCCCCAGTTTCCATGCCACTGAAGCGCCCGCCAACCTACAGCTATGTTATCAGAGCTTTTCTATAAAAAGTTTTTTTAAGTTGTCAGCGATATTACCCAAGAGGGAAGCGAACGTTGAACCTCAACGAGCGAACGAACGATGTTTCTAAGTTTGGAAATTCCTACACGGGACTTCTATGGATTACAATTACTGGTACAAACTACATAACTATAATTGAGAGAGAGAGAGAGAGAGAGCGAGAGAGAGAGAAATGAGGTTTAACGTCCACTCGACACAAACTAGATCATTTCGGGTCTAACATATGGTTTAATTTTATTTCAATAATTCGCTTGCGCGTAGGGGTCTTTAGCAGTGGGAGGAAACCGGAGAAAACCCACGAGGTTGGACAGGCGACCCTACTCCTTGTCACGTACAACCGGGGATTCGAAACCACGCCAGTAGACCCAATAACAGGTCTTATGATACAGCGCGCACATGCAAACCATTCGGCCCCCCCCCCCCCAACCTCAGTATTATAAAACCTGTTGCTTGGCAAACTGTGGCTCAGTGACGACTAACCTATTACTGAGCATTGCTTGATAGCCCCAAGATCAAGGCCTATTTCAAGGTTTTATTGACGAAGCACGGTTTCCGGAGATGGAAGTTTTTTGATTGGGTTTCCCCCCTTTGGGTTCCAACAAAATTTCCAAAACGTGACTCACGATTTTCCACACAGAACTTGGTAGCTCAATTTGGCTTCTTCCATCACCGTTATTAGCTCTAATGTGTTGGAATAAACCTTCTGAATTAGTGACCAAAACAAAGGCTCACCAGAAGTGAAATAAAAACTTCCTGAATTATCACCACGCTTACACTTCTATAACAAAACAAGCGGTTGGCACACACGATACGCCGAGATTCTGTAAGATATGGATAGGGAACAGGAAAAATCGATAGGGCTCAACCTCTCATTGTAACAATGCCTCACATCGAATATGAAACTGTAGCCTATATCGCGTGCACAAGGTATTTGGCAAAGTTTGGTAACTTGATGGGGTTTGTCGCCTCATGACCCCAAATACTTCACATCAAATGTGAAAAAATAAAACACGGTTAAAACGCAAGCCCCTGTCGCTGCCACAAGGTTTTCGAGGGGGCTTAACTCCGGAACAGAAGGTAGCGGAATACTGATTATCGACATGATTCTTGCTTCCGTGTTCTCAATTCATCACAATATAAAGCTCACAAATTTTGTTACACTCTGTGTATGTAAGGGAATAATCCAAGCAGATGCACCAAAATCGAATTCAACCAAGATCTTTTGATCCTCAACATCTAAAACGGTCAAAAATTGAGGCCTAAATTAAAATTTGCATACTATAGACATTTGTATTTATAGCTGCGTATCGGTATCATTGGCAGTCCAAAGAAACGCCCAAAAGCAGACGAACCTTTACTGTAACATGCAGCTGACTACTTGCGTCAACAACAGCTTTATTTTTCGACATTTACATACAAGCCACGAAATTAAATCGAAACCAAACGCATTGATTGATGATCACAATGATTGTTAATGACACACTTGCTAAATTTCCTCATGCCATCTTTTTAGATTCACAAGGATACATGAATCCATCTTTTCAAAGCATGAATTTTAGATTCTCCAAGCACGGATTTTTCATTTCGAGGCACGTCCGTGTCTGTAGGCACGTTAAAATAGGCCCAGGATCAGGAGGTCCCGGTTTCCAACCAAGTGTTGGTCGAAAAAGTTACTCGGGATTTTGTTTCAGCGTGGTTTCCCTTTGTCATTGCCGCAGAACGGAGACACATGGTCTAGTCGTTCGGGTGGGACGAAAATCGGAGGTCGAGTGTAGGCCTATAACAAAATGAAGAGATTCTACAAAAGATACCGACCTTGTCCGGTAGATTCCATTCTGGAAGCGGTATTAACAGAATCACCAAATAAACAGTATCTTGGCATTTTACTTCCTACAACCCCAGCAACTACAGGACCTGGAAAATGAAATTATTGAATCTATATAATGCAACGTAAAGGTAAGGGAATATGTTTTCCCGGTAATTAGCAAGGGTTTACATTTGTAAAACCCAGTATCATGGCCCCCAGTCTCATGGCTACCCCTCGGACTGATGGAGATGTGTGTGTGTGTGGGGGGGGGGGCGTAAGTAAAACCCAACCATTGTTAATTACATCAATCTGGTTAAAACTCAAGATCTTCGTTGTTGTTCTTGCTGTTAATAACACCCGCTTCCCATCAATTTTGCGTCATGACGTCAGTCGATCAGCTGAGGGGAGTCCTGTGGGCATTTGTATGTCTCCTCAATTTGACTCTTGAATCATGGTTGGGACCCCTGTGGGAGTAAAAACAAACATGGGTGGGAACTCTGAATCATGGGAAGGAAGGGTGAAATTCAAAATGGCGTCCAAGATGGTCACTCGGCTAATGATGGCGGGCATACGCCATGCAGTGTGCTATACGGAAAATTAGCCCCGACAGCGGTGGTACGGCCTACTCTTTTTTCGAATCCCAACTGTCAAGGGTTCTTTTTCGGGCAGGCCAATATGTAGACGGAACCTCGGTATTTCGTCCCATCCCTCCAACCTACACCACCGACAAGGGGGAACCATGCTGGGAAATCCCGATGAACTTTGTCGGGCAACGCAGGGATCGAACACGGAGCACCCAGGTTAGCGTGTCAGGGCCATACCCACTGAACAACCGTGGCTCTCGAAATAATAATAATGATTTATTTACCAGTGTGGACTCCTGCTCGCAGTCTCAGTAATGTGTCTGGAAGATGGGGAATTTCCAAGTGTGTCACGTGATGAGCAAGGTCCAATGACATTGTGGCCACTTCGCTGACATGACGTCTCCCATTTCTGTTTGGAACTCCTGTAAAATTATTAGCATATATTATAGGGAGAGAGAGAGAGAGAGAAATGGGGTTTAACGTCCACTCGACACAAACTAGGTCATTTCGGGACTAACATATGGTTCGATTTTATTTCCATAATTTGCTTGCGCGTAGGGGTCTTTAGCAGTGAGAGGAAACCGGAGGTCCCGGAGAAAACCCACAAGATTGGCATATATTATAGGTAGCACTGGCTTGCTTAAATGGCTTATAGACGAAACGGCCTTTAAAAACCACTAGAAATTTGGACAAAATGGCCACAGATTGATCATAATGGCCATACGAAAAAATCACGACCGATTAAATATTGATGACTTGATTCGAATCCGCATTTTAGCAGTTTTGGCCAAAGTGGCTGAATGTTACCAAATTTTCGATTCATCATATCGTTGTAATCACGGAGCGAAATTTTAACCATTTGGGACAGATATTCCTTGTAGAGATCCCACATTACCAATATTGTACACATGTAGGTTCAAAATTCCTTAAATATGATCAGCGATTTTTAACATAATTTGGGGAAATCCGACAAATGAACCAAGTCTATTCTCATGAAGAGAGTAAGTCTATTTGCAAGCTTTACTAAATCTATTTGTTAAGGCCAGCTGAATTTTTGTCAAGGTCGCTGAGATGTAAATAAGGTTAGGACACGTGATTGGCGAGATTGTAGGTTAAGGTTAGGGTAAGCTTTGGGGCTAGGTCCAGGGTTAGGTTTAAGGATTTTGGGGAGAGGCTAAGTCTCCACATAAGCACTTATCATTTAGCACTAACCTAATCACAGTCATCTTGGACTTGTAACGTCGAAGAGTGTCACCGCCAAGAATAACAAGGAGTAGCACCATCAGTAGCGCGTGGGGACCAGACACACTATACATGATAATAAATAAGGAAATGAAATTGGGTTTAACGTCCTACTGTTCAGTTCTGACTGAATTAATGGTGACGAGCATACGTCATACAGTGTGCTATGGGGGGAAGTTATATTGAAGGGAGTTTTTTACGCGCACACCAATGAATACACTGCGTCTCAGGGTTTCGTCCCATCCCGACGTTTATACGCTGCCCCCTGCCAGGCCCTCGGTCTGACATCACTGACAAGGAAGAACCACGTCGGAAAAACCCGATGAACTTTCTCGGCCAACGCAGGGATCGAACACGCTAACTCTAGGTTAGTGAGCCAGCATCTTACTCATTGAGCTAGGATTGGCTTCCTAATAAATACAAACTAGGTCATTTCGGGACTAACATATGGTTCAATTTTATTTCAATAATTCGCTTGCGCGTAGGGGTCTTTAGCAGTGGGAGGAAACCGGAGGACTCAGAAGAGAAAACCCACGAGGTTGGACAGGGGACCTTGTCACGTACAACCGGGGAATCGAAACCACGCCAGTTGATAATAAATAAGGGAAAACAATCATTAAATATACTTACCAGAAGCAACCATGTATGCATCACCAATGGTCTCCACTTTATAAACATCATACAGTTCTAGCCTGGTATCAAAACACAGATATAGGGTATTGAGGAGTCCAACTACTTCCATAGGACTACACGCTGCTGAGATACTAGTAAAACCGACTATATCCGAGAAGAATATCGTCACTTCCTCATATGTTTCGGCGTCAACGGATTTATTGCTTTTCAGTTGATCCGCTACTGGTCTGGGAAGCATCTGATAAAGCAGAGACTCGGTTCTCTGTCGTTCTTTGCTCAACTGTTTTGTCTGATCGGCTAAACTGAAGGCGTATTTTTGAATATCTGACACCAATGTTCTAACGCTAAGGATGATAACAGGACATATCACGACCACCAAACACAAAATGGACACGCTTATGGATATACTCTTTGTATCACTTGCGAGATCTTCATTGATACTATTTACAATGATGTCGGCTAGGCTTAACTGGACGTCAAATAGTATATCTAAATAGTTGCTCATATTTTGAAACCACCAAAAACTCATTTGAAGGGAGCCTTGAATAAAGGAATGATTATTTAAACTTATCTGTTGCCTCATCTGTTCGATATGATATGTCACATTTTGTTTATCAGTTTTTAATCGTGTCTGCAACATATCCGCAACTTCAGGAGAAAAGAGCGTGGATGCTATAAAATTCCCCTTTCCCATACTTCTTTCTGAAAAATACCACTCGAAATCCTGAAATTCCTCGAAGTGACCTTTAATGTAAAAAATACTTCCCAGTGTTCGTTCAATCCCCATATCGTTTTTGCTGGTGAGCAGCAGTTGGTAGGCCACAAGCTTCCTCCAGTCGTTTCCCGAATTTGAAAACTGGATGGAACTATACAACCAATTGATAAATTCGGTGACAACACCGCTGTAAAATCTCAACTCCCGCCTCATTCCCGAAATGGCAGATCCATCATTATCCACGGTTATCCGATGATCAGCTAGATACTTCGCAAGAGCCATTTTTGTAGGAAATTTTTCAAATGGTGTATTAGTTTCCCCGGGCCATTTGCTCATTGTATCGAGTACCTCTGATGTTCGTTTGTAGCTGCCCGATAAGAGAGCACGAGTGAGAATTTTAGCTTGACCGTCCGAGACCACGTGTAGAGATGAATAACCTCGTTCTCTTTGAAGGTAATGGATCAGTTTACCCACTTCTGTACTCAGTCGCACCATGTCATGTATCTCCTTACCGGCAATGGTTTGTGCACTAACGTTCGTGACATCAATGATGCACATGACAACCAAGGCTACGGTTGGGATGATGGTCAGAGACAACATCTTCAGCATCTGCATTCGTTTACCTGAGTTAGATAAATCATCAGAATAATGAGATATATTTACAATAGAATAACCAGGTATAGTCCAAGGTCAACTAAGGTCAAGGTCATTGCTGAAAACGATTCCACGATTCCAAGCTGCTATACTACGACGACAATGGGATATAGAATAAGGCGGTATATTCCCAGGGGCAACCGATGTCAATAAACGTCAAAGTTCGTGCTAAGAAAGGAAAATAAATGAAATGGAGTTTAACGTCCTACTGTCCGGCTCCGACTGGGCTAATGAAGACGGGCATACGCCATACGGTGTGCTATGAGGGAAAGTTTGCTCGGGCAGTGGCACTACGGCCTACTCTTATATCGGATTCCAACTCCCAAGGGATCTTTAACGTGCACGCCAATGTGTACAAGGTTCCTCGGTTTTTCGACCCATCCGAACGACTAGACAGTTGTCCTTGTCAGGACCTCCGTCCTGCACCACTGACAAGGAGAAACCACACTGTTGAATCCCGATACGTTTTCGGCCAATGCGGGGATCGAATAGGCCGGAAAGGTTAAGAGTGCCATCTAACTACTGCGGCGACAATGATCTCCAGTTTAACCGTTTTATACAAATATTAATTTAAATTGGTGCTTTCTAACAATAAAAGAACTCGTGCCGAAACGTCGTGCTGTATAGAAACCAATGCATGTTTTCTATATAAACTATGCCCAATATGCCACACAATGAATATAAATATGCATTTTTTTCATAGAAGCTGTTTGTCTGCGATATCACTTCGTTGGAAACGAACGTTAAATAAAGCTATTTCACACACAAACTCCATAACTGAGCCTAAGCTGCAAAAATACGAAAACCCAACCAAAGTAAATACAAAATCAGGAGCTCCACTCACCGGTATTTGTTAAATTGTTGTTACGCCAGAATGATGCAAATTTACTTGCCAGACTTCCAGTAGATGGTTTCTTCACATCTTGCTCCGCATCCTTGGTTAGAGATGCCAGAGTGGCAACGGACACCGTTCTTACCGAACCGCTGATTTCACAAGACGAATGAACCTTTGATGACTTCATTTCTAAAAATATATTTCACTTAATATATAGCATTTCACGTAATATATAGTATTTCACGTAATATATAGTATTTCGCGTAATATATAGTATTTCACGTAATATTTCACGTAATATATAGTTTGTAGTATTTCACGTAATATATAGTTTATAGTATTTCACGTAATATATAGTTTATAGTATTTCACGTAATATATAGTATTTCACGTAATATATAGTTTGTAGTATTTCACATAATATATAGTTTATAGTATTTCACGTAATATATAGTATTTCACGTAATATATAGTTGATAGTATTTCACGTAATATTTAGTTTATAGTATTTCACGTAATACATAGTTTATAGTTTTTCACGTAATATATAGTTTATAGTATTTCACGTAATATATAGTTTATAGTATTTCACGTAATATATAGTTGATAGTATTTCACGTAATATTTAGTTCATAGTATTTCACGTAATATATAGTTTATAGTATTTTACGTAATATATAGTTTATAGTATTTCACTGAATTCCAACTACCAAGGGTTCGATTACGCGCACGCTAATGTGTACACCGTGTCGACGTTTTTCGTACCATCCGAAAGTTCATCTTGATTTTCTGGCGTGGTTCCCCTTTTCAGTGGTGCAGGACAGAGGGCCTGGCAAGGGGTAACGTATAGCCGTTCGGATGGGACGAAAACCCAAGGTTAGCGAGCCAATACAATGAATATCAACATAAACTTTGATAACTCACCTGGACCCTTTGTATAGATATCCTCACTAATTGATTAATCCGTTATACTATACAGGTGTGTGAAGCACACCTCTGTCGACGCCAGTCGTTTCAGTAATAATGCTAGAACCATCCATCACTTGCTCTACCCCCTTGCTCAATTTATCAGATCAAAAAAAACCCAAACTATTAACAAAAAAACACATTAATCATTGAGAGCAGTTAATATCTACAAACCAAACAAGTTAACAAGATAATTGTCGCGTCATTAATTAGTTGACTATATCACAATTCCTGCAATTATCGCAGATTTTTTTTCAAACCTTTATTTTTTGTGTACAAATTAATTTTACATTAAGTTTTAGGTGCAAGACACAGCTCAAGAGTCCATTTTATTGGAATTATCTTATAATTCAATGGTAATGAACTACTTTTTTTTCGAGGAAATCGATTCTAGGGAAAGGATAATTCTAAGCGTCTTTAACTGATCTATTTTATGGCTGTGTAAACATCAATATGTCGAGTGACCAAATGTCGAGTAACGCCATTAGGAATGGGAACAAAAAAACCTTCCATTAACAACTCGTGGAAAATCGCTATAAAAATTGCTGCAAGTTCGAGCGTACTCTTCGACTAATGAAGACGGGCATAAGCCACACAGTGTGCTATGCGTGACATTTTGTCCGGACAGCGGCGCTGCGGCCTACTGATATATATATATAGAATTCCCGTCTACACATAGGCGTGCACGTAAAAGAACCCTTGACAGTTGGAATTCGAAATAAGAGTAGGCCGTAGAGTCGCTGTCCGGGCAAAATTTCCCTCACCTTTAAGTGATTACTATTTCATTTACTAAATGTTATTTCAAAGAATGAATGAAATGAAATGAAATGGGGTTTAACGTCCTACTGTTCTGCTCAAGGGATCTTTTACGTGGATGAAAATGTATACGCAAACCTCGAAATGTTAATCATTGAACTAAGTCAAGAAATTCACCTAATGAACATCTACATAAAGTTTAAACATTCTACCTTAATTAAAGGCAGAGTTGTTATGTTCCAAAGTCTTAACCAATCAAATTGCTTGTCGCTCCTTAGCCTAAGCAGAAAATTCTCACCATCGAACTTAATCAAGGTAATGATATAATGAATCTATTTTAAGAGTTTCATCACTCTCACTTTATTATAACCCAAGTTATTGTGCCCCAAAGAATCAACCAATCAGATTGCTTATCTCTGCTTACCCGAAGCAGAAAATGCTCATCTTCGAACTCTATCAAGGCACTGACCTGATGAACGCCTACACCAAGTTTGAACATTCTACCTCAATTAGAAGGAGAGTTATTGTGTTCCAAAGTCTTGATCAATCAAATTGCTTATAGCTCTTCTTATCCTGAGCAGAAAATGCTTATAAGCGAACTTAGTCAAGGTATTGATGTAATGAAACCATACACCAAGTTTCATCACTCTCATTTAATTAGAACTAAAGTTATCGTGTCCCAAAGCATCAACCAATCAAATTGCTTATCTCTGCTAACCCTAAGTAGAAATGCCCATCAAGGCATCGACCTTATAAACACCTACGCTAAGTTTGAACATTCTAGCTCAATTAGAAAGAGAGTTATTGTGTCCCAAAAAGTGTGACGGGCAGACAGACAGACAGACAGACGGACGAACCCATTTTAATAGTCCCCTGATTTCTTCGAAAGGCGGGGGACAACAAACGCATATATATCAAGTCAAGTGGGTGGATCCGGGGGCCATGTAATTTCTAGATATCCAGTAGAGAACATATATATTCCTCTATACCAACCCAACCAAACCAAACCAAACCATTCTCGCGATTGTTCCACCAGATGTAAACAAAATTATTTGGCCAGGACGATGACCAAAATCAGATTATTAACACAATATAATCACTGAACAAAATATAATCACTGAACAAAATATAATCACTGAACAATATAAAACACTTGAACTGAACAAAATATAATGATAAAGTATCAGCTCAATCCCATTTAACATTATTAAAATCCCATTGCGTGCGTATTTTTAGCGCAATATGAATCCCCTGAAAACTACGATATCGTGGAAGTTGAATCTCCAATAGGAATATCAGTCAAAAAGGGGTTCATTTCCATTCGGTACTTACAAATATATGCTGTCCCGTATGTAATAAGCCAGCCGCCATTTTGTAGTCGATGAACAGAATTGATAGGCCTATTTTAAATCCGATTGAATCTAATCCGGATGGTTATCTAACGTTGGTATTTTGATAATTAATTTGGGTACATATTAGTGTGAATTAAGTCCTGAGAAATTTGATATTTTAGCGAAAAATGCAAATGACGCAATGATGCTTTAACCAAAGAAAACTACTAATACCCCCCCCCCCCCCCACACACACATACACAATAACCATCCCTCACCCTACCCCCACCACCCCGCCACCGCCGCAAAAAAAAAATAAAATAAAAATAAAAATAAAAAAATAAAAAAAAAAATAACCAACCTAAAATATAAATTTAACATTTGTTACAAGTGTATCCATATTTAAAATATTAAATGAAGTAAACCCTTTCAGTCGACATCTGAGCCCCCAACGCCCAAAAAGAAACTGATGAATTAAACTAATACTTACACCTTCCCGTCGGGTACAACTACATCCATATTTAAACTACAGAATGAATAATTTAACTGCAGATTACAAAAAATAATGATAAAAAAAAACTGTTTGAGGAGAATATTGATTCCGGGCAACGCAAACATATTAATAACTTTATGATATGCATCATCCGATTAATGTTTATAGACTAGACGCAATCATTACAAACAAAATATCCGTTAGTAGCTTTAGGCGGCGATTAATTAGTATTTGATGAAGGGTATTGTATACCAATGATGACACTATACATAAAAGTATTAAATCACAACAATCGTGGGCTGACAATGAATGATAAGACACAAACTGTAATATGACGAAGTCTACTCTTTTGAAGCGCGGACCCATAAGTTATAGCTCAGATACGAGCGATATTAAAATTTCTCTCATATAGAAAAACAACACGGTATTTATGATGTATGCGGGTCAGTACGGACAAGTAGAACCCATTCCATATTGTTTTAAAGCAGCCTAGTCTCTAACTCAATATCATCCAAAGTCTTACACGTTAAAAACACGAATAATTTGTCAATTCAAATCAACATTGATGTTGTTATCTTACCGGGAAAAGGTAGGCTTCTGATGTCCAAAATTTAAGACAAAATAAACATTTTACCATTGGTACACGAATTGTGTACCATAGTGCGTTTCATCGTCATCTGTAACAAGTGACCAGAAAGAGCGAGGCTAGACATATTCAATAACTCATGTCATACGGCGACGCCATAACTTGTCTGGAGAGCATGCACAATAGACTGGTATAAACCAGACGCTATAAATTTCTATTCGGTTGAGACTCATGCCGTATTTCGCTGGACCCAACTGATTTAAAAGAGTCAAAACGGAAACAATTGAATGTAAATCAGTTCATATACAATCAGATAACATTATTATATGCGTTGCGGCCCGTTTGGGTCAATTTCTAGGTCCCAAATATTAGCGATTTAGCCCCTTTAAAGATGCGTTGTACCAATATGCGTCGCTGGTCAGATGTGGAAAGTCTAACTCTCAAAAACTCCCCACAGCCGACGTGTGACGCATACCCTCTTCTGTTACAGATTATATTGGCTTTGTGATCCTCTAGTATTGTCTCTGGTTATATATGTAATTCTCTTATTTTGGCTAGGACTCATGTTGTGTATTTATTTTTATCTCTACCGCTAAGATGTTTGTCTACCAGGAACAGCAATGCTCTTTTATGTCAAGCACTGGATACATAGGTTACAAGCATAGTTTACATTACAATACTCAAAATCAACATCCTCTCTCTCAACCAGGGAGCCACGGTGGCTAAGTGGGTAAGACGCTGGCTCGCTAGCCTGGAGGTCGCGTGTTCGATCCCTACATTGGCCGAGAAATTTCATCGGGATTTTCATGTCAGTGTTGCAGGACAGAGGGCCTGACAAGGACAGCTGTCTAGTCGTCAGGAAGGTCCCGAGTATACATTGGCATGCACTTAAAAGATCCCTAGGCAGTTGGAATTCGATATAAGAAAAGGCTATAGTGCCGCTGCCCAGACAAAATGTCCCTCATAGCACACTGTATGGCGTATGCCCGTTTTCATTAGCCCAATCGTACAGAACAGTTGGACGTTAAACCCCATTTCATTTCATTTCTCTCTCAACCCCCTAACTCGTTGATCGAGTTTACTGACGGACTTTAATACATCATATGGCTCTTCTACAAATCAACGTGGTCTACTCAATCCAGATGGTGTTTCTTGAACCTCAGGGGTACCTCCCAACGAATCTACATGGTATCTCCTCTCTCAAGAAGCCAATAGGTCTCTAAAACTCTATAGGATCTTAATCAGTCTTTTAATCATTGACAATGGTTTTGAGACAGCCCCGTTAATTATTTAATAGGACAAATATTACGTAATTGATTATGATGATTGATTACTAAGCCTAATCACGTCAAGAATCACCCTTTTATGGACAGTGTAAACTTTCCACCAGGAGAATCAGATATGTTATTTTGTTATTAACCCAGAATTTGTCTACGTGAGATATGCCTTGTCTATGGATATGAAACCAATAATTAGTCAAGACCATAGTTAACCTACAAATTAGCCTAACGTGCGGACAATGGTCTATTCGGGACAGCTGGTATAGCAGAAATAACAGCGATAATTTCAAACTAAAAAAAACAAACAAACCCACCTAATCTTTGATTTCAGTCTTCAACTGTATACTCCATTTTAGGTGGATGATCGGAGACGTCGCCAACTTTGCCCCCCCCCCCCATCCCTGCATGCCATTGTCGTTTAGTATTACCAAGTAATTGCATCCCATAGAGTTGTTTCAGTAGTTTTAAATTGACTGTGCAAACTTTCCTATCTAACATCATAATAACAATTGACTGTGCAAACTTCCCTATCTAACATCATCATCATAACAAATGACAACGTTTACAGATGGCTCTCATTTTCAAGAGTTAATAACTCGACGTTGACGAGGTCGTTATAATTAGGACTATGAATTGTTCCAGTTATTTAAGTACAAAACAGTATTTACTGTCATCATTTCAAATTCAATAGAATTGTTGAATCTCTCTGTGTACGTATTAATTACTTTTACCATCAGTATGATATAGGGACTTTGTTCTCTCACGTAGATCTAAATGTTCAATACCCCAAAAAATAAACATAATAGCCGACTAATACAATTTTAATTAAGTAATTATCATTGATATTTACATAGCAATTCGTATTATTCGAGCGGAACCATTTGTTGATGATGCACAAGATTTCACTATACAAGTTAAAACTTTAACAGCTTGGGTAACAATGATACAGATCATTAAGTCAAAATACTGGCGATCCCGTCACTTCAGACAAATCATGGCTGGTGCATCTCCATTCTAAGACTTTAGTGCATAAATAAAATAAAATCAAGTACGAACAATCCAAACCATTACAAAAAATTCGAAGTACTAAAAAACGGTATAGGCAAAATAGTGTAATCAGCAAATGGACTGTTCACCGTGTACAAATACACGACAAAAACAGAAACGGCTACATTGACGTGATTAGGCTTAGTAATCAATCATCATAACCAATTACGTAATATTTGTCCCATTAAATAATTGACGGGGCTGTCTCAAAACCATTGTCAATGATTAAAAGACTGATTAAGATCCTATAGAGTTTTAGAGACCTATTGGCTTCTTGAGAGAGGAGATACCATGTAGTTTCGTTGGGAAGTACCCCTGAGGTTCAAGAAACACCATCTGGATTGAGTAGACCACGTTGATTTGTAGAAGAGCCATATGATGTATTAAAGTCCGTCAGTAAACTCGATCAACGAGTTACGGGGTTGAGAGAGAAATGAAATAAAATGGGGTTTAACGTCCAACTGTTCTGTACGATTGGGCTAATGAAAACGGGCATACGCCATACAGTGTGCTATGAGGGACATTTTGTCTGGGCAGCGGCACTATAGCCTTTTCTTATATCGAATTCCAACTGCCTAGGGATCTTTTAAGTGACAAGGTGTGGAGTCGCCTGTCCATCCTTGTGGGTTCTGTCCGGGTCCTCGCACTGCTAAAGACTTCTACGCGCAAGCGAATTATTGAAATAAAATTGAACCACATCTTAGGCCCGAAATGACCTTGTTTGTGTCGAGAGGACGTTGTTACCCCCCCCCCCCTCTCTCTCTCTCTCTCTCTCTCGAACTCACGTCACATTTTGAAAAATATTTAAAGTAGCTAAGTCTCTAAATCAGTATCATCCAAAGTCTTCGACATTGAAAACACGAATAACTTATCCTTTTAAATCAACATTGATTACCGGGAAAGATGGGCATCTAATATCCAATATTTAAGGCAAAGTAAACATTTTACCATTGGTACACGAATCGTGTACCATAATGCGTTTCAGCGCCATTTGTAACCAGGGACTCGAAGCACGAGGTTAGACATATACCACAAGTCATGCCAACCGGTGACGCCATATTCTTAGCTGGAGAGCATGCGCAATAATTACTATCGGTGTAGACTGGAATAACCAGACGCTATAGATTGCCATTCAACTGAGACCTCTGGCATATGTCGCCGAACTGATTTGAAATTAGAGTAAAAACGGAAACGATTGCATGTAAATCAATCTATTCATATTACATTATTATATGCGTTGCGACCCATTTGGGTCAATTTCTAGATCCCAAATATTAGCGATTTAGCTCTTTTATTAAGCTTTGACTACAAACCTAAAATGTTAGCTATCCCCGAAATTTTCATGATAAAGATGTCCCCTATTTTCTGCTAACACTTCCAATAACACTTTTTTGTATGTATAGTCCATATTTAAAGGAGCTAAATCGCTAATATTTGGGACCTAGAAATTGACCCAAATGGATCTGAACGCATATAATATTAATGTAATCGGGTTCTATATAAACTGATTTACATTCCATTGTTTCCGTTTTGACTCTAATTTCAAATCAGTTATGTCCAGCGAAATACGGCATGAGTCTCAACCGAATGCAAATTTCTAGCGTCTGGTTAATCTAGTCTATGGCGTGACCGTTTGACATGGGCTGTGGAATATGTCTAGCCTCGTTCCAATGGTAAAATGTTTATTTTGTCTTAAATATTGGACATCAGAAGGCAATCTTTTCCCGGTAAGATCACAACATCAATGTTGATTTGAATTGACAAAAAATTCGTGTTTACAGCGTGTAAGACTTTGGATGATATTGAATTAGAGACTTAGCTACTTTAAACAGGCCTGTAGTCGCCGATGTCGCGTGCGAAGCAGATACTTTTGGATCGCACAATGATTTACAGTACACCCCCACCCCACACCCACCCCCCGGGGGCGAAAAAAAAGGGAGAGAAATAGCACGTAGAACACAGAAAATCCACACCTGGCGCCAGTCTTGCCCCAAGAAAATGACCGATCCATTTCCTTCGAGCGGAAAAGCTTTTGTATAAAAAATATAAAATAATAATAATAAAAAAATCAATAAATAAATTAGAATTAGAAGTAACTTTATATTTAGCATCATTTTAAAGATGTATGCATGGAATTGTTGAAAGATATTTCAAGTATACAAGGGATGATAGCCTTGTAATGTATACTCTTATAATTCAGAAAAGTCTTAGAATTTGTTTTCAGTTTAAATTTTATTGAACTTATCACTAGGGATTTGGTATAGTTTAGAACGGGGTTTTTAGCGCTGGAAATACACGATGCTTATAGCTTATAGCTCAGTTTGAGTTCTGGCAGCCATGAATCCTTCTTTGCTTAAATCAAATTGCATATTATTTGGTAGAATCCAGTGACCCAAGTCCTTTAAGAAACTTATAAATGGACTATAGCCTTGTTGTTGATAATCTCCTAACAGCCATGGATATCTTCTGATTGGTGTCATGAACAGGTGAGCCAGGTGGTGATTGATGGAGCTGTAACAAGACGCCGCCATTTTGTTTACAACCACCGTGCCTTCATCTGTAAGGGGAACGTAGACACCTGAAAAATATTCACATTTGCGTTAATATTTCGAAAATAAAATTGATTAGCAATGAAATTTTAAGAAACAAGTTTAAAGTCAACTGAAAATATACGAAGGTCATTTTACCCCGCGATGCGAACAGTCAATACGAGGATCTAATCACCGTTCGCTTTGTCCTTTTCCCTCATTGTGCCAGGGGCGGTTTGGGTATTCGGGTGGTCTAGTGGTTTAAGGCGTGCGCGTGAAATCAGTCCTGTCATTGAGTCAAGTGGCGGGTTTTCGATTCCGCGCTTGTACGTGACAATGGACTAGGGCCGCCTGTTCAACTTCGTGGGTTTTCTCTGGGTCCCCCGGTTTCCCCCACTACTAAAAACGCCTACGCGCAAGCGGGTTATTGCCATAAAATTGTTAGTTCCGAAATGTTCAACTCTCTCTCTCTCTCTCTCTCTCTCTCTCTCCTTGTGCAGATTGATCAATATACGCAGGTCATTATCCCGCGGTGCTATTCACATTCTCTTCTTGTGGACAGATTTCGTTTGTCACCGGATTAGATCGGGGTTATTCTGGATGGAGTTCTATTTAACTGACTGTATTTAACGTAACATTAATATTTTACCTTTTCTAACATTGTGTGTAATTGTTTTATTTAACGTTACCTTAATGATTTACCTTTTCTAACATTGTGAGTAATTGTTGAATTTAATAATTTACCTTTTCTAACGTTGTGTGTAATTCTTTTAACTTTAACTGGACATATCTCAATTTTACAGTTATCTGTAGTGAATAAATAATCACCTATATTTACTCTTCCAGCAAAACTTGAAAATACAACAAAAAAATAAATTCGTAGGTTAAAACGGCAACAATTTCATTAAAGCCAGAATAATTTGTTGTTATTAATCAGCTTTAAATAATACTACCCTGAAAAGAAATGAAATGGGGTTTAATGTCATGCAGTGTGCTCTAAGGAAAATTTTACTCCGGCAACGGCACTACGACCTACTCTTATATCGAAATACAAATGCCAAGGGATCTTTTACGTGCACGCCAATGTGTACACGGGTCCTCGGTTTGTCGTCCCATCCGAACGATTATACGTTTCCCTTAGTTTAGAAATTCTAACAGTTTAAGCTCCAGTACTTGCAACTTTCATGAATAATGACCATTACTCTAACATCATTTACTGTACACAAAAGATATTTCAGTTGCCCACCAATTTAAAGTAGCTAAGTCTCTAACTCAATATCATCCAAAACCTTCAACAATGAAAACAATTTTAATCAACACTGATGTTGTGATCTTACTGGAAAAAGATGGGCTTCTGATATCCAATATTTAAGACAAAATAAACATTTTACGATTGGTACTTCGTGTACCATAATGCGTTTTAGCGCAATTTGTAACAAGCGGCTCGAAGAACGAGGTTAGACATATTCCACAAGTGATGTCAAACCGTGACCCCATATTCTTATCTGGAGAGCATGCTCAATAAATACTATCGGTGCAGACTGGAATAACCAGACGCTAGGGATTGCCACTGGATTAAGACTTCTGGCGTATTTCGCCGAACATAACTGCTTTGAAATTAGAGTAAAAACGGAAACGATTGAATGTAAATCAGTTTATTTACATTCATATTACATTATTATATACGTTGCGACCCATTTGTGTCAATTTGTAGGTCCCAAATATTATTGATTTAGCTCCTTTAATGTAATCTACATATATTTAAAATCAGTTCAGAAGTTGTTTACCGAAAAACACGTTTCTGATGCAATTGTTTCTAGGTTAGTTGAACCTAACTTACTTTGGAATCATTTCTTTAGTATTATTGGTAGTAGAACTAAATATCACGTGACTTTCCGAGAGCGATATCGTCTGCTCATCTTCTGTTATCAAATCTAAGTAGACGGCCATATTGTCTGGATAACGTTTGAGGAACGTCTTCACTTCACTAAACACAAGTTTACCTTCTTCCGTTACTAAAATATAAAAGATAGCCACGCAATGCGTGGAAATACGCTCACATAGTCGACATGTCCCGGCAACAGCTTATTCGAAAAGAAAACTACCATATTGACCAAATTTGATAGGGGATGCCTTCAAGGAATCTGATCTCTATCAAGCTTGAAAAAGTCTGTTAATAACTGTCTATGGCGTTGACAAGTCTTTCGGCAAAGAGGGAATAACTCTGCATGGAAAGGCGCAGAACGCTGAATATCGATCGGGTTTGTCGTCCATGGCCCGTTATGCTTCTCACCAAATTTGAAAAGTATCCATTCAAAACTATAGCCGCTATCACGTTCACACTTTTTTCTGCAAAGGGATATAACTCTGGTACGAAAAGTCCCAGAACACTGATTGTCGATAGGGTTCGTCCTTTCAATGATCCAAATGCTTTACACCCGATTCTAAAAGCTTCCGTTAAAACAGTAGTCTCTATCGCGTTTGCAAGCATATGTATTTAGGGTTGGCGGTTACATCCTCTATAGGGTTGTCCAGAGATCGACATTTGGATCTGGGGAGTGACACATGCTTTAAACCATCACTTCCTGTTTCGGAACTATGTTCAACTCGTAGTCGTAAATAACTTTGTGTTAGTCTTGTTTTAGTACTAGAATGTAAGCCAACAGCATGATCATACTCGGATTTGCCCCTTAGGACTAACGATCTCAAAAGTCTCAAAGAAGAACAATGTAAAGATGCACGTTTAATATTTTCACCAGTAAATGTCATTTATATTGATATGGTGGACTTTATACTGATATATCTAATCGCCCTCGGGAAGTGCCACGTCACCGGATTCTCATGTTTGTGCCGAAGTGCTGTTTTCTGGGGGTTGTAGCTTATTCCAACATTAACGACGAAAACTCAGATAAATAGTTAAAATTGTACTTGTAATAAACGAGTGTCCAAAACTGGCTAACGGTCACAATAACGAGATAGGTATCGCTAGGGCGAGCCGGTCACCAGACTAAAGTTACAGTAGAATATAGAACATATATACAAGATTAGGAGTAAAATAATTATATAATAATATTTGATTAGAGATGTTAAATTGTACATAGGAAACAGATGTTTAAATACAGAAGAAGATATCGACATAGCAAGAACGCGTGTTAACTATAATTACATAATATATATCGTTACATTAAGTTTAAAACCAAACAGTTAAAGGACTCGAAAGATTAGTGAGATATCAATTCGGACATTGGTCGATTACTACCATAACTAAAATTATATTATAAAATATATACAAAGATACACTATAACAACTGCATGGTACCGGAGAAATCCCCAGGTTGCATTTTGAATTCAACAATGACGTTGAAGATTTGTCAGGCTACATGTCTTGTAAATATATCGAAAGATCTAAACAACCTGCCAGTTAAGAAATCACGGCGCCATTTTCCTTTCTTTGCATGGTTCTGTGTGATTTGATTGTTTTAAAAGATAAAAACACAAGAACAATAAAAGATTTACCCGCTAAAACTCGGTGTCCCTGTTTCAATTTCTCCATGGCAATGACCTTGCCCGATTCCAGGGTTAAACTGACGTCACCAGGAAAACAGATATTATCTGCCCAGCCGCATGTACAGCAATCCCATGAATCCGTTCCCCATTTCCGTTTGCAATAACAATTACACTCCTCTCTTTTATCCACGTCGCCATTCTATAATAAACAAAAACAAAAAGTATCGTAACACCCCTGTTTCAATAAAGTGATAGTGGTTGTTCTGATACGCGGGGTTGATGGCCCAATGTTTAGCGCGTGCGCGTTGTATCATAAGGTCTGTCATTGAGTCAACTGGCGTGATTTCGATTCCCCGGTTGTACGTGACAAGGAGTAGGGTCGCCTGTCCAACCTCGTAGGCTTTCTCCGGGTCCTCCGGTTTCCTCCCACTGCTAACGATCCCTACGCGCAAGCGAATTATTGAAATAAAATTGAACCATGTGTTAGTCCCAAAATGACATAGTTTGTGTCGAGTGAACTTTAAACCCCTCTTCTGTCTCTATCTCCCTCTGTTCTGATATGTTAGCTATTTTACGTTCTGGATGGTATTCAATCTTCCTGAACTGCCTACAGAAAACACTGCACCAGCAAAGAAAAGGAAATATGATTCTATGACTGGTACAGGTCAATAGGAAATTCATGTTCAAGTTGTCCATAGATCAGTGACAATGGTCAATATCTGGTGTACCCTCCGTCAGCATAGGTCACACGGTAAACCCCACTCATCATGGACTGAATGAGACGTTGTCACCCCCCCGCCCCAACACCAGGATCGAACCTCTGATATCCTCGTTACTCAGCTAGCGCCCTAATCACTTAGCGACCCCGACTCCCTTAGCGTTGTGGTTACACAATTGTTTTTTATGCTTTGCTTTTTAAAATTTCTAGTTAACAATTATATATATAATACATAAAGGTATGACTTGCATTTAAATTATTTTAGAATTATCATTATTTCTATGTTTTCAAATGTCTTGAAACATAAAATTATCATGAACTGTTCGAAAACTTCAAATGTCTAAAACTTAAAAATGAAATAAAGACGGGCATACGCCATACAGTGTACTATGAGGGAAATTTTATTCCGACAGCGACGCTACGGCCTATTCTTGTAACGAGTTCCAACTGCCATGGGATCTTTTGTGTACATTCCATTGTGTACACAGGACTTAAGTGTTTTGTCTCATCAGAACGACTAGACAGCTGTTCTTGTCAGACCCTCCGTCCTGCACCACTGACAAGGGGAAACCACGGCGGTAATGCCACCGTAACTCCCCTAAAACTTAGCATTGATCGACTTGAGTATTTGTGGTCTGATATTTTTCAACTAATGATTATAGTCTGTTTATAGGCTACTAGGCAAACTTTCTGTTTATGGCGCGTAATAACCATAACAACCACGTGATAAATAATAACCCACCTTGACCTTGGTCACATAGCGTACTTGAGTATCGCCATGATGAAAAAACACATCAGCTGAAAAAAGCAAGATCAAATATTTTACACTTCGTCCATCAACGTTTCTGATCATTATTGTTGATGATTTGCTATCCTTTGAAAACCGTGCAATGAGACAGTGGTCAACATCCACGGTCACATGCAAATAAAATCAACTAGTTATAAGAACCCCTCGCCCTAACCCCGGGATAGCGGAAAAACTCATTTTTAGAAAATTCAATCCTTACTAGGGAACACACTAATGTGACCCTAACCCGAGAGCCTCAAATTAATTCTTTTTTTTTTCAGAAACAAAAATTCCAGAACACGTCAAGCGACACCGAAAGATGACCACCAGCGCTCCCCCCACAGTGAAATCAACTTTGTATACCAATCTAATATATTTTAAAAACTATGAAATATCACTAACTAAATTTTTATTTGGTGTATAGGGGTAGCTCGGACCTGATGGCGTTGAATTATCGCTTCCCAAATGACCTAGTTTATGTCGAGTGTACATTAACCCCAAACCCCATTGCTCTCTCTTGATTCAAGAGTAACATTGGCCTGATGGCGTTGAATTATCGCTTCCGAAATGACCTAGTTTATGTCGAGTGTACATTAACCCCAAACCCCATTGCTCTCTCTTGATTCAATTGGCGCGGTTTCGATTCCCCGGTTGTACGTGACAAGGAGTAGGGTCGCCTGTCCAACCTTGTGGGTTTCTCCGGATGCCCCGGTTTCCTCCCACTGCTAAAGATCCCTACGCGCACGCCAATTATTGAAATAATATTGAACCATATGTTAGTCCCTAAATGACCTAGTTTGTGTCGGGTAGACGTTAAACCCCATTTCTCTCTCTCTCTCTCTCTCTCTCTCTCTCTCTCTCCCTCTCTCTAGCTTACCTTGGACTAGGTTAATCCATAATAAAACCGTCAACAAATATACGGGAGTACTCATACCGTATAGATGTACACGTATCAACTTCACTTATTTAACTGCTCACAACTATAAAATCACGCTTTAAATACGCAAAGGGTTGCATATAATTGTAATCGCTTCTCTCGGTTCATCGTTTGGCATTTTCAATTCTATAATAGACTGGTATCTCACAGGGCTGAAAATTATGTTTAATAGCTGAATAATTTGATAATATACCCATTTAATTATAATCTAACGATGAAACTATTTCGTACACTCTTATTAAACATTCAGATTGTGAAAGCTAAATCTGCATATTGCAGGTCTTTTTTAGGCCTGAAATTTTATCTAAATTATTAATTAGCCTTTTATTAACATGACAAGACCATAATCAACTCTCGAGTCTCGGTGCCATCTGTTGGGTACGATTTTAAACAGATTAAATTGAAGCATAAGATTAACCGTAAACATGGATAATCGAGACTTTGTTTATTATCGTAACAATGGTAACAATGGAAACCGAGGCTACAGTGTTTTTGAAATTTGGGTTTCTCGGATCAGAGTGAAGTAATTTGAATGAAATTTTTTAGCATATTCTCTTTATGTTATCTATATTGTAACTATTATAGCTTTTTATCTAATCTTAATGTCCCTTTAAATAAGGGGGGTTGGATGGCTGAATGGTTAGCGTGCGCGCGCTGTATCATAAAGTCTGACATTGAGTCAACTGGCGTGGTTTCGAATCTCCGGTTGTACGTGGCAAGGAGTAGGGTCGCCTGTCCAACCTCGTGGGTTTTCTCCAGGTCCTCCGGTTTCCTCCCACTGCTAAAGACCCTTACGCGCAAGCGAATTATTGAAATAAAATTAAACCATATGTTAGTCCCGAAATGACCTAGTTTGTGTCGAGTGGACGTTAAACCCCATTTCTCTCTCTCTCTCTCTCCCCCTTTAAAAAACGGGGAAACAGCAGACAAAATCTGAAATTCAATCTGACGTCAAAATGGTTGTTAGTAAATTTCAAATTTCAAATTCACGTCAGCTTGACCACCAAACCATACATGCGCATTTGCAATGCTGGGAAAATGGAAGAACGAGGTAAATCGAGTGATATTTAACCTAAAGTTACATTCAAGAAAAAGACTATGATCGTTATCAGGAAGTATTCTCCGGCATGGTTCCCCCTTATCAGTGGTGCAGGACAGAGGGCGTGGCAAGGGACAGTCGTTCAGATGCAACGAAAAACCAAGGTCCCGTGTACACATTGGCGTGCACGTAAAAGATCCCTTGGCAGTTGGAATTCGATATAAGAGTATAGGCAATAGCGCCGCTGTCCGGGCAAAATTTAGCTCATAACTCACTGTATGGCGTATGCCGGGCTTCATCAGCCTAGTCGTGACAGAACAGTAGGACATTTAAACCCCATTTCATCTCATTCTATGTCATCTGGATGCCATGTCTGTTTTGCTAACTTATCTTTCTGTCCTGGACGAAAGTAAGGTTAGGTGGCCGAATTGTCTAACGCATGCGCTTTGGATCATAAGGTCTATCATTGAGTCAAGTGGCGGGTTTTCGATTCTTAGCTTTTACGAGACTAGGAGTAGAGTTGCCTGTCCAACCTCGTGGGTTTTCTCCATGTCCGCATCGATTTTTCAACACGGTTTCCATAAATTTAAGTATGTTTTTAAGAAACAATCCCCTCTGAAACCCGCGCAAAAATGTTTTTGTAAGCGAGAAATTACCCCCCCCCCCCATAATTTCATGCTTATAGCATCCCAATACACAATCCCTTTTATCAGATTTTAAGCCAACGACGATGCGTGAACAACAATTTGTTTGCTTGCTATAGAGACCACGTGCGAGTTGAACCAATTACATCACTTCCGGTTTTAATAATAATAAAAAAAAGTTATCGCTTACAAAAAGTTTTTTGATTGGGCTTTAACGTCCTGTTGTTCTGCTCTGACCCATTTTCCTGAAGCAATGGCCCGAGAAATCCCTCTCTGCCCATTGGTAGATTGGCTTTTGAGGGAGTGTGTCTATTCTCCCCGTTCAATCAAATCTATCCCAATTACAGCAACATGCCAGCCCTTCGTTTAATCTGGGGTCTTCCCTAAAACTTTGGACAGTGATTTAAGGTATTAAAAACGGTGAAAGTCTTGTTCGACTCCATACAGTATTGTTGACACTGTATCAGTGTTGATAGCCTCTTTGTCACGCAATTAGTTTTTCTGCAATATTCTGCTATGCACTAGTTAATTGGGCATAATAAAATCGTGAGTCATGACGTAACGTTATGTAAACATATTTGTTCCAATGTGGAGCTATGTTTAAAGCGTATTCAAATTGTTACGCAATTAGCTATTGGTTGTAAATCGGACTATTGACCAGTCATAATTTGGAACAAAAATTTGCTTCCATTAAAGCAGTGTTTAGTGGGATTAGCTCTAATCAAACGAAACACTGCGGCGATTGTGGTTCTGACCGGGCTAATGTATACACGGGACCTCGGTTTTGCGTCCCGTTCGAACGAGTAGATAGCTGCCCTTGTTTCTCCCTCTGTCCTGCATCACTGACAAGGGGAATCCACATTGGAAAATAGGATTGTTTCTTAATACATATTTAAAACCTGTTAACAATCGTTGACCGCCCCCTTCAATGGTTTGCGAATTATAACGTAATGGTTGCTATTAGGGGGATTGGATGGTCGAATAATTAGCGCGTGCGCGTTGTATCACAAGGTCTGTCATTAAGTCAACTGGCGTGGTTTCGATTCCCAGGTTGTACGTGACAAGGAGTAGGGTCGCCTGTCCAACCTCATGGGTTTCCCCCGGGTCCTCCCGTTTCCTCCCACTGCTAAAGACCCCTATGCACAAGATCAATTTGAACCATACGTTAGTCCCGATTTGACCTAAGTTGTGTTGAGTGGACGTTAAACCCAATCTCTCTCTCTCTCTCTCTCTCTCTCTCTCTATCTCGCTATTTATATTTAAAGACAAATATTATAAAACAATACAATAAATTAAACGTGACATTATATTAAGAATCATTAGACAATTCATTCTCTCAAAATCCATAAAAGTCACACAAAACATTATAAGTATTAAACACAAGAAACGTATATGGATCAACTCCTAAATACACGATGCTTATAGCTCAGTTTGAGTTCTGGCAGCCATGAATCCTTCTTTACTTAAATCGAATTGCATATTATTTGGTAGAATCCAGTGACCAAAGTCCTTTAAGAAACTTATAAATGGACTATAGCCTTGTTGTTGATAATCTCCCAACAGCCATGGATATCTTCTGATTGGTGTCATGAACAGGTGAGCTAGGTGGTGATTGATGGAGCTGTAACAAGACGCCGCCATTTTGTTTACAACCACCGTGCCTTCATCTGTAAGCGGAACGTAGACGCCTGAAAAATATTCACATTTTGGTGAGCAAGAAACATTTCTGAATGGCATATTTCGAAAATAAAAATGATTAGCGATGAAAATTTAATAAACTAGTTTAATGTCAACTGAACAATGTACGTAGGTCATTTTGCCGCGTGATGCGAATACCATACAAAGTCTAATCGGCGCTCACTTTCTGTTCTTCCCTTTTCGCTTCTTCTGGACATTTCGTTTACCACCGGAATCAACCGTTCGAGACCGAAACATGACGAAGCTCGTTGGTAACCACCAGGTGCAGGGTTGTTCTAGATGTGGTCTAGAAAGGGGGTTCTGCTTGTGAACATTTCGTTTATCACCGGAATCAACCGGGTGTGTTCTGGGCGGAGTTCTATTTAACGTAATATTAATAATTTACCTTTTCTAACATTGTGTGTAATTGTTGTATTTAACGTAACATTAATAATTTACCTTTTCTAACATTGTGTGTAATTGTTTTATTTAACGTTACATTAATAATTTACCTTTTCTAACATTGTGAGTAATTGTTTAATTTAATAATTTACCTTTTCTAACATTGTGAGTAATTGTTTAATTTAATATTTTACCTTTTCTAACATTGTGTGTAATTGATTTAACTTTAACTTGACATATCCCAATTTTACAGTTATCTGTAGTGAATAAATAATCACCTATATTTACTCTTCCAGCAAAACTTAAAAATACAACAAAATAAATTCATTTAAAATAAAAAAAACAAAAAAAAATGGATTCAGATGAGCATGTGAAAACAAAGGGTAGTCACACAATAGTAATAATGAATACCAACAACTAGCTCATAAACTGCCTGCAGTTGTAGAGAGAGAGAGAGAGAGAGAGAGAGAGAGAGAGAGAGAGAGAGAGAGATGGGGTTTAATGTCCACTCGACACAAACTAGTTCATTTCGGGACGAACACGTGGTTCAATTCTATTTCAATAAATCGCTTGCGTGTAGGGGTCTTTAGCAGTGGGAAGAAACCGAAGGACCCCCGGAGGACCCAACGAAAACCCACGAGGTTGGACAGACGACCCTACTCCTTGTCACGTACAACCGGGGATTCGAAACCCCGCCAATTGACTCAATGACAGACCTTATGATACAAATGAATTTTGTTTGATCTCATTATTTTAGATAACTATTGATCAGATGACACATTGTAAACTTCGTTATCAAGAAAGAAAATTATATTTAAAGAGCATATGTCTCTAATCTTTGTCTCTCTCTCTCTCTCTCTCTCTCTCTCTCTCTCTCCCCGTCGTCCAATTCCAACTGTCAAGCGTTGTTTTACGTACACGCTAACGTGTACATGGGTCCTCGGTTTTACGTACACGGGTCCTCGGTTTTAGTCCCATCCAAAGGACTAGGCGCTGATCCTTGTTAGGCCAACTGCCAATAGCAAACCAGGCTGGCATATTTCTCGGAACTGTCTCGATCGGCTATACCCTTTAAGACGCTACGGTCAAGAGTAAATCATTGTTTTGTCACTTCAAAATGTAAATGATGCATCGTTATCTTAATCATTGAATGGTTGCGGCTCTATAACGGTACACTGAATTAATCATTGAACCGTTACGGTTCTAGTATGTTACTGTCTAGACTCTAGACACAGCCAGTCTACCGAGGTTCACTGAATTAATCATTGAACCGTTGTAGCTCTAGCATGTTACTGTCTAGACACAGTCAGTCTATAACGAAGATAAAATTCATAAACAAAATTATGTATGATTTCTATAAGGGACTAACACTTGTCGCTATAATAGTAAAATAGATAATGTAAAGGGAATATCTTGAAAATTTCAATCAAATGGCTTCATTCTCAGCGACGTTAGGGCTGTGTGGAGAATAGTGAAGTCGCGATTGTCATTGCTACCGTTATTACGATAGTAAACAAAGTCTCAAATATCCATTATTTAATTAAATCATTAACCGCCAGTCGTGTTTAAATCCATTGAAAATCTAGAGCATCCGATGGCATCGAGGGGTGATTATGGTCTTGGCAATTTAGTAAATATCTAAATAATAATTCATATAACATTTAAGGCCTACAGAAAGACTTGCAATAGGCAGATTTACCTCTCACATAATGTATCTTTCTAAACAAATTATAAATGAAATAACATGAAATGAAATGGGGTTTAAAAATAACGCCCTACTGTTCTGCTCCTATACTGGACTAATGAAGACGGGCATACGCCATACAGTGTGCTATGAGGGAAATTTTGCCCGGGCAGCGGCACTACGGCCTACTCTTATATCGAATTCCAACTGCCGAGGGATCTTTTACGTGCACGCCAAACAAATTATAAATCTTATTGAGCACGTCCCATTTTGAACTCCATCAAAGAGTTTTACACTTAGCTCCTATGAACTTACTTTGGAATCATTTCTTTAGTATTATTGGTTGTGGAACTAAATATCACGTGACTTTCCGATAACGATATCGTCTGCTGATCTTCTGTTATCAAATCTAAGTAGACGGCCATATTGTCTGGATAACGTTTGAGGAACGTCTTTACTTCACTAAACACAAGTTGACCTTCTGCAGTGACTAGAATATATAAACATATATATTTGTCACTATTGTTTGTATGTTTGTCTGTCTGTGATATAAAGAGCCGTGGAGTGACACTACCACTTCCGATGTCGAAATTGTACGACTTTCGACCCGGGACCCTATCCATGCAACTCCGGTATTAAGGACCTGGGAGTGACACGATCACGTCCGGTGTCGAAATTATACTACTTTCAACCCGGGGCTCTATAATGTAACTCCCGATCAACTACTGGCTGTTTTAAAATAACTTTGCTCTTTTGGTTTAACACTAGACTGGAGAATCTCAACAGGGGCGTGCCCCCCTTAGCGAAATCGTAACGTCGGTACCTTGCCCCCCCCCCCCACCTACCTTTTTTAGCAAACATCTGGCGGATGCATGCGCTGTTAGGACATTTACCAAAGGGACTAAAGATCGAAGAAGTCACAGCGACAAAGAATACAGTAGTAGAGTCAATGATGGTTAAACCAGTTGCAGGCCCATTCTTGACAGCTAGATGTTCAGCAACAATAATGTTTAGAACCAGTGACAGGGCACACCATCATCAACTGGAATTCCAGTGCGAGCAACGACCATAACCCCCGCACAAGAAGCGCCCCCAGGTTTCATTCAGACTACAATAATGACTTTGATCAAAATTTGTCAGGCTACATTCTTGCAAATATACCGATAGATCTAAACCACTCACTGGTTAACAAGACATTTTCGTATTGTTCTGTAGAATTTGACGTTTTAAAAATTACAAATACAAAAACAAACAAATAAAAGACTTACCCGCCAAAACTCTATGTCCTTGTTTCAATTTATCCATGGCAATGACCTTGCCTGATTCCAGGGTAACACTGACGTCACCAGGGAAACAGATATTATCTGTCCAGGAGCATGTACAACAATCCCACGTATCCTTCTTCCACTTCCGTTTGCAATAACAGCTACAATCCGCCCTTTTATTCACATCGCCATTCTATAATAAACAAAAACAAAAAGTATCGTAACACCACTATGGATACAGTGGTAGTGTTCGATCCAAATGTGTTGGCTGTTGACCAAATGTGTTTGCTGTTGGCTGTTGACCTAATGTGTTTGCTGTTGGCTGTTGACCTAATGTGTTTGCTGTTGGCTGTTGACCTAATGTGTTGGCTGTTGGCTGTGGACCTAATGTGTTGGCTGTTGATCTTCTGAAAAATCTCCATGAACTGCCCCTATGATGCTCTGAACCAGCAAAGAAAGACAAAATCTGAATGGATAATTGTCTCTACAATGTCAATTTATCCTATAGATTTAGCGTTTAGGTTACCCATTAGTTCCGTTTGCACCCTCTTTTTTGACCAGGAACTTGGCCCCAAGCCCTACTCTTGTTCTTGTTGTGCATCTTCTTGTGGACAACACTCTTTCAAGTACGATGGACTTGACATTTGTCATGCCGGATCCACTGAAAATTTACACATGGATTGGCGACTTCGATTTTTGATATGACGTTATAATTCACAGATGGCTGCGATCATGCCATGCTTGGTTCCCGGTTCATATGATCTGTTTTGTATAGAAATCGTTTTATAATTATTATTACCTAGAAATTTAAAATCGATATAAACTTCAAATGGATAAAACTTATAATTGATCGAGTTGATTAATCTTTAAACAGATGTATTTTCGATTTATTTATATTCCTGTTTATGACGAATAATAAACATAACAATCACGTGATAAATAATAATGTACCTTGGTCTTGGTCACATAGCGTACTTGAGTATCTCCATGATGAAAAAAGACATCAGCTGAAAAAAAAGCAAGATCAAACATTTTTCACTTTTTGTATTAACGTGGTAATAAGGGTATGAAAGCTCAGATAATCCATCGTCATTCGTCATATTTTAATCATACCAATTATTGAATGTGAATATTAATTTAGATAGTAAAAATACATTATGCAAGAGCTAAATCTGCCCATGGTAGATTTTTCTTTAGGCCTGAAATGTTATATAAACTATTAATTAGACATTAATTAACATGAAAAGACCTAAATCAAGTTTCGATGCCATCTTATGTGTTGGATTTTCACTGGATATGAATCCGAAATGTTATATAAACTATTAATTAGACATTTATTAACGTGAAAAAATCTAAATCAACTCTCGATGCCATCTTATGTGTCAGATTTTCACTGGATTTGAATCCGATTTGCTGCTCAACAATCATTGATGATTTAATCCAAAAATGGATATGATTTTTATCGTACCAACTTTACCAATGATGATCGAGGCTAGGCCCAAACTTCAAACGCTAATAACTCGGTTCAGAGTGGATCAATTTGACTGAACTTTTCAGCAAATTCCCTTTACATTATCTTGTTTTTAACAATTATAGTGAGAACTGTCAGCCCTTTATCTAATCTTCCACAATGCCCATTTAAATAACTCTAAACACACGTTATTTGGATAGCCAACCAATTTAAGAATTAGAGTTTTCAAGTATTGTATTTGAGAAATGTGGATGTTTGTACGAGTCAGAAAGCTTGTCGATGACCATAAAATAGTATGTTTGAACTGGACGTGGTGGCGTTTTATAAACTGATAACTGGACCTGGTTTTTATACATTAATAGTGTTACTTTAAACATGAAAAACAGCATTATCTTTAGTTAGAGTCGGGTTTACCTATTTGTGGGTCCTAGATCAAAGTCATTGGTGGGATCCCAAATTCACTCCCCTTTGGACCACTGTGGGCCTATAATGATTGTACAGTGGCCCCATTCCCCGGGTCTATACTTATTGTGCAGCGGTCCCATACGCCGGGTCTATACTGATTGTACAGCGGCCCCATACCCCGGGTCTATACTGATTGTACAGCGGCCCCATACCCCGGGTCTATACTGATTGTACAGCGGCTCCATACCCCGGGTCCTATGCTGATTGTACTGCGGCCCCATACTCCGGGTCATATACTTATTGTACTGCGGCCCCATACTCCGGGTCCTATACTTATTGCACAACGGCCCCATACTCCGGGTCCTGTACTTATTGCACAACGGCCCCATACCCCTGGCCCTATACTGATTGTACTGCGGCCCTTATGATTTTAAATATATTGTATAATCTTATACTCAGTGTACAAATTTCAGTGCCCCCAGACCCTATGCCTATTGTCTGTAGTACACTCAAGCTTACCTTGGATTAGGTTAATCCATAATAAAACAGCCAACAGATATACGGGAGTTCTCATACTTTATAGAGGCACATGTACCAACTGTTCACAACTAAAATCAACCTTTAAATATATTCACAGTAGAGGATTGCAATTAACTATAAACGGTGTCTCTGTTCATCCTTTGACATTTTCAGTTCTGTAATAGATTGGTATTTCAAATAGTACAAAATTTCGTTTAATAGCTAATACAATCTGATAATGATATAAGTACATATATTGGGTTCAGGGCCGTATGTAGGATTTTAAAAGTGGGGGTGCAGCAGAGTGGTGGGGCGCCATAGCCTCCACGTATGTGATATAAGAAAGTTTGGATCAGGGCAAACGAACCCATTGGGGTGTGGGCGCCCTTAAAACCGATCGACTGATCAGTGCCTTAAGAGCATTACTGTGTGATCATAATCAAGTGGATTATTTTATAATTGAAAGATTGTCAAATAATTTTTGGGTTTTTTTGGTTGGGTTGGGGGCGCAATTTCTCGGGGCGCCTTATTTTTCTGGGGGTGCAATGTACCCCCTGCACCCCCGCCAGATACGGCCCTGATTGGGTTATAGTCTACCGGAAAAAACATGTGACTGCGTAATACACCTATTTAATGAACACTGATTTAAACACGCAGTTTTGTTTTAAATACAATACCAAAAATAAAACCAGTTAACAACAAATTATCCCCCAAACGCGCATTTTAATCAAAAAGTCAGTCAACAAAACATATACACGCCCTGCTCAAAAACACAAAACCCAAGCAAAGGTGGGTTATATAAATACGTAAGGATGGGCACGACAAATCTGTTAGCACCAGTTAGATTTTAGAAACATTTGCTTTCAGCTCACGATGGTCCGATAGTTGATGGTGTTTGACCGTGTGAAATTTGTGTCCTTATAAGAATACAAGGGGAAGAATATCCTCTGGTTGGAATACCTTTTCTTTTTGTTCGGAACTGTTTTTATGTTTATAATTGACAACGAAAACCTATATTTCAATATATTACACACCTCGGACAAATGTTACCACACTAAATTACAGTAAACAACCCGAAAATGCCGAAGGACGACCATCTTGAATATTTAAATTTCCACAACGGTACCAAGGTGGCATCATTCGGATTCTGAACCTTCACATACAGAAAATATATAATCCATCAAAAAACATTAGGTGAACCACATTTCCAGGTTTTCGACCTACTGCCGGAATACGAGGTTGAACTACCCCAAGGAGTGCCACAGGGGTCTGTTTTCGGTCCAATTCTGTTCAGCCTGTATACTAAAGCGTTCGGTTCAATTTTCAAGAAATATGGCCTTCTATTCCAAAATATTAATTTTGGTCTTTCAAAATGCATCATCGAAAGCAATATTATTATATCGGATTTAAATCATTCTTTAGGCTAGAAATATGAGAAAACAGAATCTGTGTTAATTGGCTCCAAACAACAGCCTCAAAAAGCGACCCACAATACGTTTAATTACTCCATCTTCATCAACCAGGAACATATGTGCTGTCAATCTGTATTAGATGGCAGACCTTTATAAGTTTAAGTATGTCTTCTACAGGTGACGTCACATCACGATGCGCCCACCATTGGCTCTATGGCGCGTGCATAGTTTACATAAGACGTTGTAGCGTGAACTGGTCTGGGCAAAATGGTGCCTTTTACCCATTTTATATACCCATTTACACTAAATAGGAAATATGTTTTTCAAGATATACTTCAAACACCTTTATCTATTTTTCTAATACTTCAAAAAATGTTCTACAATTAAATTTGCAGAAGGACAAAAGGTTAATATTGCGAGCTAATTAATGTCACCCCTCTGAATGATTGTGGCAGCCTTGCGAATATTCACTGCTGATCAGTGTGATGTCATCCCTATCAGTGATTGTAGCGGCCTAGCGAATATTCACTGCTGATCAGTGTGATGTCATCCTTATCAGTGACTGTAGCGGCCTAGTGAATTTTCACTTCTGATCAATTTGAGGTATTGTATGCGATGTGGGAGTCATGGTGGCTAAGTGGGCAAGAAGCTGGCTCGCTAGCCTAGAGGTCGGGTGTTCGACCCCTGCATTGGCCGACATCGTTCATCGAGATCCTCCGACGTGGTTTCCCCTTGTCAGCGGTGCCGGACGGAGAGCCTAATAAGGACAGCTGTCTAGTCGTTCGGATGGGACGAAAAACCGAGGTCACGTGTATACATTGGCATGCACGTAAAAATTCCCTTGGCAGTAGGAATTCGATATAAGAGTAGGCCGTAGTGCTGCTACACGGGCAAAATTGCTTTCATAGCACACTGTATGGCGTATGCGCGTCTTCATTAGCCCAGTTGGAACAGAAGAGCAGGACGTTAAACTCCATTTCATTTCATGCGATGAACACATGAATATATAAGAGCAAATAAATACTATTCAAAAAAAGTAGGGGATATTTGATTTTGGGGGCATAATACTAAAATATGCAAATGACTACGAAAAAAGTCACTATAGAACCTAACAGAAGAAACATTTCCAGTTACATGTGACGCCCAAACGCACCAATAGCTACCGCATGGAATGCATGTGATGCTTGGGATCATCATGGGGGTCCAACCCAAGATTTGCACGACTCTGACTTTGAATGTTACAGTCATTGTGGCATTGAATTCCAGGGTGGAAACATCAGTTTAATTGTTTTAGTGACCAGAAAACAAATTTTGATATGCGTCGGCTTACCCAAAATGAAAGGTTACGTGCCCTTGGCATGCTACAGATCGGCACAACACAGGCGGTTGTGGCGCGGACGATGAATGTTTCTCAGTCTGTCATAAGCAGGCTATGGTCCAGATACCGTGATACACAATCTGTACAGGACAGACCACGCTCAGGTCGACCAAGGGCGACAACTCAAGCCCAGGATCGATTTATCCGTACCTTGGCCTTGAGAAATCGTGTCATCACAGCAAATCAGATCAGCGCTCGTCTTCAAACAGACACTGGTGTGAGAGTGAGTGGCCAGACGATTCGGAATCGACTGCATAGGGGTCACCTTCGCGCCCGACGTCCTCGCGTGATCCCTTGTTTGAGAGATCATCACATTCAGGCAAGACGTCGTTGGTGTAGGGATCGTCAACACTGGGATAATCGACGCTGGAGCAATGTGATGTTTTCAGATGATTCAAGGTTCACTGTTGATTTTTTGGACAGACGTAGGAGGGTGTGGCGTCGTCGAAACGAGCGCTTCCAAGACGTTAACGTCATCAGACATGATCGATTTGGGGGTGGTTCTGTTATGGTGTGGGGAGGCATCACTGTTGCTGGAAGAACGGCTTTACATGTTGTTGCAGGGCGTGTTACAGGCCAGTACTACCGGGACAACATCTTGGCAGTCCATGTTGTGCCGTTCGCACGACGCCAAGGCCGCCGTTTCATCTTCCAGTATGACAACGCAAGATGTCACAGGGCCAGGATCGTTACAGGTTACCTCCAACAACAGAACATCACCACATTACCTTGACCAGCACTGAGTCCCGACCTCTCCGGACAGAGGTTACGTCAACGTCAACAACGTCCTGCCAATGTCCAAGAACTTGCTGCTGCGTTGCAACAGGAATGGGACAATCTGGACCAAAATGACCTTAGACGTCTCATTAGGAGTATGCCACGTCGGATCAATGCTTGTTGGGCAAACAGAGGAGGATTTACCCGTTACTGATTTGGTTGTGATGCTGTGGTAACTTTGCTGTTTGACCCCGGGTATCATTTTACCCTTATAATGGTCAGTCTGTGCCTTACTTAGTCTAACGATCATTTGGAATAAATCGATGAATGTGAACTTCATTTCATTTTGTCATTTGTTTCTTCGTCAGTTTCATTAGGTGACTTTAATAACACTTAAAAATCAAATATCCCCTACTTTTTTTGAATAGTATATATGTGTTACTCCTATATACCCTTTGCATAAAATAATAATAATGTCTGACAGCAAATTGTTAATCATTATTATCTTTGAGATCATCGTGTATCTGGTATAACGATTAAACTAGTTTTGTTTTCTCGAACATGCACTACAATAAATATCATCTAATACAAATACAAGAATTAAAGGGCGTATAACTCTATTCTTCGGAATCTTAAAATATACGGAAATGGGCCTAAAACAAATAAAAAAATAAAAATAAACCATATGTTAGTCCCGAAATGCCCTAGTTTGTGTCGAGTGGACGTTAAACCCAATCATTATGTCCATAGGTCGTTTTCTGATTTTATATTGCTTATGGTGTCTCAAATATTGGATATTAGGGTCCCATATTTTCACTCCAATGTGGAATTCTCATTCGTGATTTTAATTTCCAATATTATGAATAATAAATACAAAATTTCTTTTTTATTTAAACCAGACAGTTCATAATATCATGTTATATGTATTGGACGTTCATCGGGATTTTCCGGTGTTGTTTCCCCTTGTCAGTGGTGCAGGATGGAGGACCTGACAAGGACAGCTGTCTAGTCAGTCGAATGGGACGAAAAACCCGAGGATCCATATATACATTGACGTGCACGTAAACGATCCTTGGCAGTTGGAATTCGATATAAGAGTAGACCACAGTGCCACTGCCTTGGCAAAATTGCCCTCATAGCACACTGTATGGCGTATGCCCGTCTTCATTATCCCAGTCGGAGCAGAACAGTAGGACGTTAAACCCCATTTCATTTCATTTCATTTCTTTTCTTTTATATGTATTGGACGTGAAATTTGTAATCAATTTATTACCTGTTTTTGTATATTCAACTTCTTCATATTATATTCATCATCATTTTCGTGATAACTTTGAGAAAACACTCAACGAAACGTCGCTTTAATTAGAAATGTGTTCTAAATTATGTTTTTGTATTTTGTGTTAAAGGAGCTAAATCGTTAAAATTTTCATTGTGTCTTAAATATTGCATACCAGAAGCCCATCCGTTTACGATAAGATAACAACATCAATGTTGATTTAAATTGACCAATAATTAGTGTTTGCAATGTCGAAGACTGTGGATGATATTGAGTTAAAGACTTAGCTACTTTAATTACGCGTGGCACTTGCTAAATACCACTCAAAGAAGATTATGGATCAACTAGCGGTTGACCCGGTGGAGTATGGGTATGGCCATGAACCGGAAGTTACATAACTCTAAAACCGGAAGTGGTACTAGGCCATCGCAACCAGGCATATGTTACCTCCCGCCCCGAGGCCTACAACTGTACACCAAATGTCAGTCTCGGGATAGCCCTATTGTAGCTGCCAACCCTGAACAGACAAACAAACGCTTTCGATATTTCAGCAATAATTACTCCATGGATGAAATCTCTTTCATAAGACGAGAATAATTGTACCATACCAAACCAACTGCATCCGCCGTAACAATACACGCTATCTCTAAGAATCTAAATATTATGAATGATAAATGCACACTGATAGGATCGATGTCAAAGGTCATTAACCCAGTTCAGTTGATAAATGTATGCTGAACCATTTTCAACCAATTACAGTTATATCTAGTTTAAACTGTACAGAACTAGATAACATTATGACGTCATTCTCTCTTGACCGCAATTTTGGACGCTTTCTTAAGATACGCACGATGATGTGTTAGAAACATGGATGCTGGTATTTGAGTTCAAGGTTCATTTTCAAATGGGATCTAGTGGTTGGATAGCTAAATCTATTTGTTAAGGCCAGCTCAATTCTTTGTCAAGGTCGCTGAGATGTAAATAAGGTTAGGACACGTGATTGTTGGCGAGATTGTAAAGAAATGAAATGAAATGGGGTTTAACGTCCTACTGTTCTGCGCGAACTGGGCTATGAAGACGGGTAAACGCCATACAGTGTACTATGAGGGAAATTTTGCCACGACAACGGCACTACGTCCTACTCTTATATCGAATTCATTTACGTGCACGCCAGTTTGTACACGGGACCTCCCATCCGAACAACTAGACAGCTGTCCTTGTCAGACCCTCCGTCCTGCATCACTGACAAGGGGGAACCACGCCGGAAATTCTGAATAAACTTTCTCGGCCAATGCAGGGATCAAAAACCCGACCTCCAGGATAGCGAACCACCATCTTACCCACTTAGCCACCGTGACCCCTAGGCGAGATTGTAGGTCAGGGTTAGGGTAGGCATGGGGCTAGGTCCAGGGTTGGGGTTCGGTGTTGGGATTAGCGCTAGCCCTGTTTACATCTCGTGACCTATGACGAAAAATTGAGCTGGCCTTATCATTTAGTACTAACTGTGGTTGGGTATTAATCAGTATGTACCAGATATTGGACATTGCTTCACTTCACCCACGTTTATAGTGGATGATAAGATAAACAAAGGAAGGAAGTTTTATTTAACGCTGTTTATTCGCTGTTCCAATGACATTTAGTAAATGAACTGGAATATACAGGACACAGTTCTGCGGAATACAATTACTGGAAATACACGTAACAGTTCTATAGAATACTATTACTGAAACATGGGTTATGATATTCTGTGGTATACTATATGACTGTTTATAACGCCGGACACAGGAATAGAATTAGCGCTGTTTATAACTAGGACGTAGGACACAGGTATATGGAATAGAATTACTGCTTGTTACTGAGACACAGGACACAGAAGTCTATGGAATACAATTGCTGTTTATTACTGATGGACTAGGATCTCTAGTCTGCAGTCTATCATAAACCTTTAAGGAAAATAAACAGAAAAGAGAGAAAGAAAGAGAGAAGTGTGGTTTAACGTCAACTCAACACAAACTAGGTCATTTCGGGATTAAATGGTTTAATTTTATTTCAATAATTCGCTTGCGAGTAGGGTCTTTAGCAGTGGGAGGAAACCGGGGGACCTGGATAAAACCCACGAGGTTGGGCAGGCGACCCTGCTCCTTGTCACGTACAAGTCTATGGAATGCAATGACTGTGTATGATATCATGAACGTTTAAGGAAAAAAAGAAATGAAATACACTTAATACAAATCTATGTTTGTTCTCTAGTCTGTATACTGTGATAAACCTTTAAGGAAAATACACAGAAAGGAAATACACTGGATACACTTCCGTGGAATACTGTCCCAGTGTATTACAGAACGACTATGATTATATAGTTTTACTTTAAAGTTGTTTATACTGTATAACGTCTCTTCGACACTCTAATGTGGCATGGTCAGAATTATCGCTGTGGAATACTGTCCTAGTGTATTACTGAGCGACAATGATAATATAGTTTTAATTCACAGTTGTTCGTACTCTATAACTTCTCTTTGACACTCTTATGTGGAATTGTTAGAATTTTCGCTTTAGAAAAACGGAATCCTGTCACGTGACCAAAGTTCCCGTGAAAAGACTTTTCCTGAAAATACTGACACGATCATGAACCTTGTCAGGTGACGTATACACACCCCAGACCATGTGTTTTTATAAACAAGTACAGTTTCTATTTATGCTGACATTTCTGTTTAATTTCATCAACGGACAAAGGCGTCAACCAAACATTGTGTTTGTTTTTGCTGACGATTTAGGCTACCACGATGTTGGATATCACGGATCAGAGATTAAAACGCCGAACATCGACAGATTGTCCTCGGGTGGTGTTCGATTGGAGAATTATTATGTACAACCAGTTTGTACCCCGACCCGTAGTCAGTTTATGACTGGGCGTTATCAAGTAAGTTAGGTTTATCTATTTATAATATTTACCCTCTGATAAACACCATAAATATATAGGTAGATAAAGTAATAATAATAAATATCGACGGATTCTTAAAATAGAGGAGCCGCGGTGGCCTAGGGAGTAGACAATGGCCGCTAACCTGGAGGTCCCATGTTCGATCCCAGTGTTGTAGAGCGGTGTAGAGCGGACGGCTTGGTAAGGGACAATTACTATAATCATCGGTTGGAACAAAACATCAAAGTCCCGTGTACACATACTCATTGACAATTGGAATTCAAAATAAGAGTAGGCCATAGCGCCGCTGCCGGGGCAAAATGTCCATCATCGCACACTGCATGACGTATTCCCGTCTTCATTAGTACAAAACAATAGGACGTTAAACCCCATTTCATTTTATTTCATAAACAAAGAGATGTATGTGTGGTGGAGGGGGGGGATGTTATACTATATATAATAAACTAACACTGCGGTATAGTTATAGACACCTGTATATTGTTACTGGTATATGTTTACCGTTAAACCAACGTATGATATAGTAACGGGCACCTGTCAATTGTTACTGTTAAATTAACGTGTGTTATAGTAACCAGATGGTACAACTCTATGTATACAGACATAATATTATTTATTTAAACTCCTACTTCCGGTTTTTTTATACCATTTTATACACATATTTCTCATGTTTTCAATTCCCATTATAAGGGCGATAATCTGTACTGGCCCAACTTCTGTAGGCATGGTTATGTAAGCTTTGTATAGCCTGTTTTTAGTAATAGTCTGATAATAGACGAGCGTATGGTCCGTTTCGATCCCTGCATTGGCCGAGAAAGTTCATCCAGATTTTCCGGCGTGGCGCCCCGCTTGTCAGTGATGCAGGACGGGGGGCCTGACAAGGACAGCTGTCTAGTCGTTCGGATGGGACGAAAAACCGAAGTCCCGTGTACACATTGGCGTGCACGTAAAAGATCCCTTGACAGTTGGAATTCGATATAACAGTAGGCCGTAGTGCCGCTGTCCAGGCAAAATTTCCCCCATAACACACTGTATGGCATACGCCCGTTCGGAGCATAACAGTAGGACGTTAAACCCCATTTTATTTCATTTCTGTATGGTCCGTTTCCCATGTGCGCGTTTTAGCGGCGTGTTCGCCGGTGAAATAGTTGGTCTTATATATGTAGTGGGACCGCGCAGAAACGCCGTGAAAACGCATAATTATGGAAAAGGGGCTTACTTTTGACCAGGACCCGGGCGTCATCGCCGCCATCTTCGAAGTCATATCAAAACTCAAAATCCGTCAATCCAAGGAAGAGTCATGCTTCATGTTCATCGTACATCAGTTGGAGGAGTTTTAGGCCTTTTTCAAAGAACGTTGGGGACCAATTGCCGTTCACAACATACACACAAAAAACTCAAAAACTTCTCTACTGTTGTGGATTTCAGTTTAATATTGAACAAATATTGTGGCCTGGCTAAACTAGTGAAATGAAATGGTGTTTAACGCCCTACTGTTCTGCTCCGACTGGGCTAATGAAGACGGGCATACGCTATACAGTGTGCTATGAGGGAAATTGTAGCTGGACAGCGGTGCGACGGCCTACTCGTATATATCGAATTCCAACGGTCAGGGGTTCTTTTACTAAGATTTGTACACTGAAACTCTGTTTTTCATCTCAACGACATCCAACGACACCCCACCCAACCACGTTCTCACCCCTCCCACCTCCAATCCCCCCCCCCCCCCAAACGTCTCCGCACGTATATACTATGTGTATCTATATTATTTAATCACGATTACTATATTTAATTTCTTAAAAAAAGATTTTCTGAATTGTAATTTCTAGATTCACACAGGATTACAACATGGCGTGATTCGTCCAAGTCAAGCCAATGCCTTACCCAGAAACAGTCCAACAATTGCCGAGAAGTTCCAGGAAGTTGGGTATTCTACACATGCTATAGGCAAATGGCATCTGGGATTTTACAAAGAAAAATTTCTACCAACAAATAGAGGATTTGATTCATTCTATGGTTTGTCAATTTATTTTGTTCACGACATTCTCTACATAGACAATTTGGTTAAAACACAGATCCTATTTCGTTTAGTTTTTTATACTTCAAAATTTAGTTTTACTTGTCTTTACTACACTAGCATCTGGAAGAGTTGTTATATTACCGGCGTTCTGGTTGAAGTGAGCGATTAGCCAATGAAACGGTCTGTTACGACAAGTAAACCACTAGATACGTCAACGCTGATTGATTAATCAATGGCTGACGTCATAGGGCCAAAAACAGCTCGTATGACACCTGACGCGACCTTCCAGTACAACCGGTCACATCTTCATGTAGTATAGGCCATCGAAAGTATAAAAAACCAAAACGAAATATAGATCTGTATTTTAATCAGATTGGCACATAGACAAACATTTACTTTGAGATTGGATCTCTGCTCTGAATGGCCACCATATTGAACAAGTTGTGTACTATTTTATTGAGCGATTCTTACTAGGTCATTTCGAGACTAACATATGGTTCAATTTTATTTTAATAATTCGCTTGCGCGTAGGTGTCTTTAGCAGTGGGAGGAAACCGGAGGACCCGGAGAAAGCCCACAAGGATGGAAAAGCGACCATACTACTTGTCACGTACAACCTGGGAATCGAAAACATGCCAGTTGACTCGATGACAGGCCTTATGATACAGCGCTCCCGCGCTAACCATTCGACCATCCAAACCCCCATCAAAGAGACGGGCATTATCATTTGTGTCAACGGGTGTGGTCTGTGGCCGTATCTGATTCTGGTATACAACACGTGTTCTCTGACCTTCTAATGAAATTGACGTTTCCGGCCATTTGTAATTCGAGTAATAACACTCATTATTTGTTATTTTAAGCGAAGAATTTATATTATATGCACGGAAATACACTTTTAACTGAGAGTTCGACAAAATTGTAAGATTTTTACCGAATTTAAAATAAGCATTCAACAGTACCATAGGAGCAAATGGGGCATGTCAAGTCGCTAGACAATTTTGGTATCTGTGTTCCGGGTTGCCCCTGCTGTCACAGTTGCTGGTAATAGAGTGTGCATTTGTCAATGCAGCAGGGCGGTGGGCCCGTATACACGTTAGCGGCCGGAAGTCTACGAAGGGTAGGCGGAAACGCGTCGGTTCTTGTAAAACACCACCCACACTGCATGGCGTATGTCCGTCATCATTATCCGTTTGGTACAAACATGTGGGACGTTAAACCCCATTTCATTTAATTTCAGGTTATTTGACAGGGGCTGAGGATTATTTCGATCATTATCGATGTTTTGATTATTGTGGTTATGATCTCCATGACAACGACAAAAATATATTTAATGGAACGGGGCAATATTCCACACATCTATTCACAGAGAAAGCAATTGACGTCATCCGAAATCACGACCAAAGAAAGGTGGGTGTAATATTATAACATAGTGAAATCCATCTTAAAGGGACAATAACACTCTTGCTGGCTTGAAATCCATCTTAAAAGGGCATTAGGTAAGATTAGATAAAGAGCTGATAGTTCTCGCTATAATAGTTAAAGTGAGAGAGAGAGAGAGAGAGAGAGAGAGAGAGAGAGAGATATGGGGTTTAACGTCCACACGACAAAACCTAGGTCATTTCGGGACTAACATATTGTTTAATTTTATTTCAATAATTCGCTTGCGCGTAGGGGTCTTTAGCGGTAGGAGGAAACCGGAATAGTTCAAATAGCTTAGTCTCTAACTCAATATCATCCAAAATTGCAGTAAAAACAGAAACGACTGAATGTAAATCAATTTATATACATTCATATTACATTATTGTATGCGTTGCGACCCATTTGTGTCAATTTCTAGGTCCCAAATATTAGCGACTTAGCTCCTTTAAAAAAATAGATAATGACAACAAGATATGCTGAACATTTCAGTCAAATTGTTTCACTCTGAACCGATATAGTAGCGATTCAATTTTAGACTAGCCTCGATCGTCATTACTATCCTTGGTACGAGAATAAACAAAGTCTCGATTATCCATTTTTACGTTAAAGCACCCAACACAAAACGTATTCAAATCCACTAAATATTACAGGCTAACGATGGCATCAGGAGTTGATTATGGTCTTGTCATATTAATAAATGTCTAATTAATAGTTTATATAACATTTAAGGCCTAAAGAAAGACCTGCAATAAGCAGATTTAGCGCTTGCATAAAGTATGTTTAAAATTAAATAAAAGTCAGTTATACAATGGGGTTAATGATGACAGGCATCTGTAATGCAGTCTGCTATGCCAGATATCTTGTTCGAATTCCAACTCTCAAGGATTCTTTTGCTACATGACCACAATGAAAGTTATTTCTCTAGCCTGGAGGTCGGGTGTTCGATCCCCGCATTGGCCGAGAAAGTTCATCCAGATTTTCCGGCGTGGTTCCCCCTTGTCAGTGATGCAGGACGGAGGGCCTGGCAAGGACAGCTGTCTAGTCATTCGGATGAGACGAAAAACCGAGATCCCGTGTATACATTAGAATGCACGTAAAAGATCCCTTGGCAGTTGGAATTCGATATAAGAGTAGGCGATAGTGCCGCTGCCCGGGCAAAACTTCCCTCATATCACACTGTATGGCGTATGCCCGTCTTCATTAGCCCAGCATAGGAGCAGAACAGTAGGACGTTAAACCCCATTTCATTTCATTTCAAGAATCTGATTGTTTGTTTGTTTTCATTCTATCAGCCATTGTTCCTGTATCTGTCGTACCAAGCAGTTCATTCACCTCTTCAAGTACCCAGAAGTTACATCAGGCAATACGATCATTTTACAGATAAAAACCGCAGAATATACGCAGGTACGATTTCATATTGTTCAATATCCATAACAATGTAATTAAAAAATAAAACACATACTTATGGAAAACAGCCACTAGTGTATTTTAGCTTGATAACGTTGAGAGAATACACTATCAAAACGTCGCCTTAAAATCCACTCGTAGCTATTTTGTTTGGATTCTATCTTGTTACTAAATACCATTGAAAGATTATAACAATGTAATTTATTTTAGATTATTGGCAGGCCCGTAACTATAGGGGTGGGGTGGGGGTGCAGGGGGGACAAAGCCCCCCCCCCCCTGCAAAAAAATTCGCCCCACCCCCGTGTGAAAAAATTGTCGACCAGAAAAAAAATAGATTTATATATTGTCCATCAATTTTACAGCAACCCCGAGAACACTCCCCCCTCCCGGTGCTCTGAGCTAGTTACGGCCCTGATCATTGGTGGTTTTCACATTCATATATATACGTTCCAATTGGACTTGTGCCACGTTTTAGGAATTGAATGGGGTTGGGTTTAAGACTTACATAGGGTAGTATGTATTTAAGTTGATAGAAACCTGTATCATGAGATCTTTTTTTCCGAAAGTTTGCCTTCAAGATCTGTCCTCCTTTTATCAACCATCACGTACAGGGCGGGTGGCAAGGCAAAACGTATAGTCGTTCGGATGAGACGAAATACCGAGATTCCGAGTACACATTGAGGTGCACGTAAATTAACCCTTGCCATTTGGAATTACAAATACTGCACTAAATATCACCATTAAATTCCTTCTAAAACAAATGGTTATTGAGAAGTTACTTTAAACTGGTTTGATTTCATCCCAAGTGCGCAAACACTTTGTGTACGGTGAGTAGCCCCTAGAACCATATATTACAAAATAGAGTTCTTTGTCATGCTGGGCAAATTTCATTATTAAATAATGCATCAAATAAAATATAACCGGATCATTAAATTTCATTATATAAACAAAATAGCTATCATGAAGTTATTTCAAAATTTATAAGTTCAACCATATGTTTGTTAGTTTGTAAATTTAGATGTATATTGTATAATAAGTTATGTTTATAATGTTTAAGGAATGGTATCGTGTCTAGATGGTATAATTAGTTATGTTTATAATGTTTAAGGAATGGTATCGTGTCTAGAGTGTATGATAAGTTATGTTTATAATGTTTAAGGAATGGTATCGTGTCTAGATGAAGGTATAGGAAATCTTACCGATGCTTTAAAAGATTATGATATGTGGGATGATACTGTGTTTATTTTCTCAACTGGTGAGTATCACAATCAAATTTACAGGCCATAAAAACAAGGAGGACACTTATTGTCATAGTACATGGACTTCCCCATACAAACATTCCACAGTAACTGGCGTTCCAATTCCAAAGTGACATATGTCGCTTCCATGACATAGTAACGCATGGTGTTCCCATGGTAAAGCACCGTATTACGTTTCCATGGGTTTGTAACGTATGTTGTTGCCATGGGATACATACGTGGGCCTACGGTTATTTCGTGGTATAGTAATCGTTCGAATAGAACGAAAACCGAAATTATGTGTACAGACTAACATATGGTTCAATATTATTTCAATAAGTCGCTTGGGCGTATGGGAGGAAACCGGAGGACCCGAAGAAAACCCACGAGGTTGTACAGGCGACCCTACTACTTGTCACGTACAAGCGGGGAATCGAAACCTCACCACCTGAGTCAATGGCAGACATTATGATCAAACTCGTTAGCGTTAACCAATCGCCCACCCACAGTACGGCGTACTCCCATCTTCAATAGCCTAGTCGGTATCCAAAAATAAGACCTTAAACCCCATATCATTTCGGTTTCCATATTCCAACATTCTTTGACATTGTATTTACATATTATTAGATAATGGTGGCTCCATCGAGGAAGGCGGAAACAACTGGCCATTGAGAGGATGGAAAGGATCATTGTGGGATGGCGGTATGCGAGCAGTAGGTTTTGTATGCAGTCCATTACTTCAGTACAGTGGTAATAATGATCATTTAATTCACGTGTCGGACTGGTTTCTCACGTTGATAAAGTTAGCAGGAGCCAGAAAAAACGGTACAAAACCTATCGATGGCTATGACCTTTGGACCACAATAAGGTAATAAGCATTTCAAAAGATCGCATCATTTAGAATTGGGGTAATTAAAGTGACATATCACAGACGGCTTAATTAATTATTAATAGTTTAGTATTTCGTTTCGTTTCTAAGCCCTTTTATGTTCCGAAATATGCGCCCGCCTAAGTGAATGGAGTTGTGTCCCCTTGCTGATTGGATGGCTATGATTTGTCACACTGATCAACAAAGAATATTCGAACGGTCGTTACAATCACTGATAGGGATGACGTCACACTGATCAGCACACTGACGTCACACTGAATATTCACTATGCCGCATATGCCCGTCCTCATTAGCAAGCTTGATTCAGAAACGCAGAACTTCAAATTCCTTTTAGTGTTTATTTAATTTCTAGTTTAAGTACGCCCATATATGATTAGATTATATTAGGCTGTGAAACCCGTACATATGATCTAAAATTTAGAGTTTTCCTTTCAACAGCGAAAATGCCCCGAGTCCAAGAAAGGAACTTCTACATAATATTGATCCCCTTGCAGTTAAAACAGGTAGACGTCTTTATAAAGACAGTTTTGATAACAGAATCAGAGCAGCAATACGAGTTGGTGACTGGAAATTAATAACCGGCGATCCAGGTTAGTGTGAAATCCCATGTTATCCCAACTTCTCTAAACTTCCATGTTATCCCAACTCCCCTGAACTTCCATTTCATCCCAACTTCTCTGAACCACCATAATATCCCAACTACTCTGAACCGGGAGAATGGCTTATATAGGCTTTGCCTGTTGCTCAATCCGCTCAGTTTCTGAATAAATATTGTTTATAAGAAAAACAACTCCTCTGAACTTCCATATCCCAACTCGTCTGAACTTCCATTTTTCCTCTGAACCCCCATGGTATCCCAACTCCTCTAAACTTCCATGATATCCCAACTTCCACAGATATCTCAACTTCTCTAAACTTCCACAGATATACCAACTCCTCTAAACTTCCATGATATACCAACTCCCCCGAACATCCATGATATCCCAACCCATCTACATTTCCATGGTGTCCCAACGCCTCCGAACCTCCATGCTATCCCAAATCCTCTGAATTTTCATGCTATCCAAACTCCTCTAAATATCCATGTTACCCCAACTCCCCTGAACTTCCATGTTATCCCATCTCCTCTGAACAGTTGTCGAAAAAATAGCCGGCAACGTTACCATCGGTCCAATCGTGGATGATCGTAAAGACACATTGAATAGGCCAGTAGTTATAAATAACACTCGACACAAACTAGGTTATCTCGCGAATTATTGAAATAAAATTAAACCATATGTTTGTCCCGAAATGACCTAGTTTGTGTCGAGTGGGCGTTAAACCCCATTTCTCTCTCTCTCTCTGTTATTTAACTCGTGTTCTGAATGGTGTCAGGGATAAGCCAATGAAACGGTCTGTCATGGCGAGCTTTAGGCGTGTTTTGCACGGAACTGTGGGTAATCCACTAGTAACGTCAATGGTGATTGGTTAATCAAATGTCTGACATCATAGGGTCATAAGTCGATCTTTTGACCCCTGACGTGACCTATCAGTACAACTTGTCAGATCTTCATGTAGTAGAGGCCATCGAAATTTCAAAAAACGAAACGAAATATAGATCTGTATTTGAATCAGATTGACCCAACCGCCCCCGTTCTCAGTCGTCTAACTCATTACTATTAATATCATTTCAGGTAATGGATCATGGATACCCCCACCATATATAGCACGTGATCTAAATCCGGGTATTAAATATGGTTCAAACAGTGTGTGGTTATTCTCGTTATCGGATGGTGGTTCGGGGGAGCCCGGCCTTCTTCGCACTCCCCGTCATAATTATATCGATGAAGGACACCGCAAGAGAAGACACAAGGACGCTAAGAATATCTGGCTGTTTAATCTTCGTGAAGATCCATTTGAAGAGACGGATCTATCACCATATCATTTAGACATTGTGCGATCTCTTCTAGACAGACTAGCATTTTACGAACAATCGTCCGTGCCGTGTCGGTACCCACCTTTTGATCCGATGAGCGATCCTCAGCGTCATGGTGGACAATGGAATCCTTGGCAATGATAACGGCCAGGTTTATATAGAGACGTTTATACAGTCTGGTAACGTTTGATAAAATAATCATTTTTTTGAATTATATTTGTGTGTACGTTGCCTTTGTACGAGAGTTTGTTTAAGGTATTTAAAATACAGATATGACGGCATCCTTTGACGTTGGCGTACCATTATTTCAAAAAATGGTACGGACAGTGTGCCAAGCGTACATTCTTTATACTAGTTGCAATATTGGACCCTCGTGACGTATTTCATTGAATTTCACGTGATGGATAGTGTCTGTATTTTAAATTGTTTAATGTTCTCGTGCAAGATATTGCGTAATATATAAATATATCCCTCGTGCTAAAACGCATCCGTGCAATATCAATATATTACTTAATGTCTACTCGCACTCGACCATTAAACTATACTTATTGTGTATACGGGTTGCCATACTTTCAAATCTTAGTTTCATATTTCAACAAATATCATAATCTATCTATACTAATATTTGGGACTTTCGTTTGTCTGTTTGTCTGTCTGTTCGGGGTTTGCGGTTACACGAGGTCTGCCCCGAGTCTGAAATTTGGGGTATAGGGGTAGCTCCGACCGGGAGTAACATAGGCCAGGTGGCGTTAGTCTACCACTACCGGTTTCGGGGTTATGACCCCCGAGCGAAGCCGGGCATTCTTCTAGTTAATACATAAATACAGTTAAAAAGTGTGAATTAAATGTGGTTTGTCTCACCGATAAATCCCTGCCCTGAATCGCCACCATGTTCAAAAATAAGTATACTATTTTGTAATATGGTTCTAATCCATTTTAAAGGTCACCGGAAAAGCATCATTTTTAGTTTAAAAATTGCAAGTAATTATGTCAACATATCCTTTCCATAAGTATAACCCGAACCCGAACGTCAATATTACGTCAATAAGCAATCCGTGACGTCATTTTAGTCCTTCTGCACATAGAAATATAGACTAGAATATGAGCAGAAGGACTAAAATGACGTCACATTTACGGACAGTTACGACTACCCACGGAAGTTTAGATAACTTCTAGAAACATCCGGATATTTTCCATGTTGTTGTTTTTATTTATTTAAAAGGCTCATGTTTGAATCCCTTATAATAATTGTGTATCGTCCAATAACGATAAGTTTGAGACATAACTCCATATCCATGTTTTAAAATATTTGATATCTGTTTTGTTTTATTTTTGTCGTAGAAATACTCCACTAATAATGTGAAAATATTACTTGCTAAAGTGTATAATTAATTAATTCATTAATTCATTAATTCATCAGTCGCCAATGGTTACATTTATATTGTCAGTATGATGAGGGGGGGGGGGGTAGCTTTAGCTCATGAGGTCTGTCATTGAATGTAGTGGTCTAACGCGTGCGCTTTTGGTCGTCAGTTCTGGCATTGGGTCAATGGTTTCGATTTCCATCTTGGACTGTCAAAATTAGGGTATCCTCCCACTGCTAAAGACCCCTATATCCTCTGGGAATATTACCCTTTTTTAATGTAACACATCCTTATGGCGATATCAATGTCGTATATCCGTCTGGGGATATCCCTACTTAATGTCGTATATCCGTCTGGTGATACCCCCTCTTAATGTCGTATATCCGTCTGGTGATACCCCCTGTTAATGTCCTATATCCGTCTGGGGATACCCCCTGTTAATGTCCTATATCCGTCTGGGGATACCCCCTTTTAATGTATGAAAGGGCTTCATGCGTGTCAGTTTAACAAATTATATTATTAAATGTATATCTTTTATATGCTGTTTTGTTTGGCATGATAATTCGACCCTTTTTTTTACTTATTCTATTGAATAAATAACATATATTCTTCGATTCCTTCTTTATCTATTATTCATGAACTTCCGGTGTTGGCCGAGGCAGTTCCGGTGCGGTGTTTCATTGTTAGTGGTGCAGGACGGAGGGCCTGGCAAGGAGAGTCTCTAGTCGTTCGTATGGGACGGAAAACCGAGGCCACATTATACACATTGGCGTAATCCATTATTAAAGAACATTTTATTCGATAGGGTTAGGGTTAGTTAATGTACATTACATTTGGAGGTCGGGCAATAAAAGGCGTCGTGTCCGGCGATGGTCATTCTTGATGCATGAGGATAGGATATGCTGAGTATTTTGCAACAAGCTTTGTGCGGTCAGTAAATGGACTCAGCTGGCTTAGCCCTTGGGGTTAGTAAATGGGGTAATCTAGTTTAGCTTTTGGGGTGGGACAATTAGTAATGTCTCGACAATTAGAATTTCCCACTATGGAATTTAGTCAAATCTGACGATAATGATTTTTTCGATGGTCTAATAGCGGATAAAGCATATTTTTTGTTAGCATGAAATCAGTTTCCACAAAGGTGGACTTGGGAAACTGGGTTGGTACCCAAAACACCTGTAATTATGTTTGTCCAAGGCCGATTTTCAGTTTTTGTACTCAAAGTAAGAATCATTTGTTGCGGATTTGTTTTTGCACTGCTCAGATGAATCCGACGTTCTCCTAGAAAGCCTATCCATTAGAAAGTTGTTTGGGAAAATGGGGATATCCGGGGATACCCGATTGAATGTCCCGGAATTGAATTCTCCCTATCCCCAAGATAATGACAATCGAGTGAAACGGGGGATTTAGAGCTATAACGCATGCGTGATCTGCATAAGGAAATATATCAACCAATCATTACAGTAAAAACATATTACGTCATGATTCTACACCACCTCAGTTGTTCGGACTGAAGGAAATGTGACAGGAATGAATACCGCGTCACTGTATCGCATTTCTGTCAATTCGGGACGTTCCGGACTGACAATCGACATAAGGGGAACAACTCTCTTTTATTCCTTTGTGAAAGGTCACATCCACCCGGTGATGATAAAAATTGGTTATTTATATATATACAACTGGCGGTAATTTTTACTTTGATGTCCATAGCAGTTATATCTCATAACAACTTGTCATGACGTCATCATAGGTTGATATATTCGTTCATATCAACCGCTGATGACGTTATGACAGGTTGATATTTCATATCAACCCGCTAATGACGTCATCTCAGGTCGATATATTCAGTTCATATCAACCGCTGATGACATAGATGATCGAAATATTTGCCCCCAGGCAAAATCTATTTGTTAAGGCCAGGTCAACTTTTGTCGAGGTTGCTGATATGTAAATAAGGTTAGGGCACGTTGGCGAGATTGTAGGTTAGGGTTAGGATAAGCATTGGGGCTAGGTTCAGGGTTAGGGTTATGGTTGGGATTAGCGCTAGCCCTGTTTACATCTCGTGAGCTATGACGAAAACTTGAGTTGGCCTTATCATTTACGTGCCCTTTTACACATGCATACGGGTGCTTCTACCCCTCTCGGTCCCACCACTGTGTAAAAAGTAGGTTGTATTATCGTCTTATCGCTGAATGGATTTTGACCAAGATAAAGTTTTGTTTAGCACGTACTCACAACTCGTGAAGCGTTCCATATTTTGACCTTACGTCATATCGAAGTCCGTGAAGTCGAGTTAAAACATATAGACCTTTTAAAATGTTTTCCGGCGAACTTAGTATAATTTGGAAGGCTGTGTTTTCTATCATTGTGATTTATCTAGTATTCAAGCTTGTAGATGCTGTCCGACGATTTAGAAAATATTTTAAATTCTTCAATGATCTTCCAGGAGAAACAGACTTGCATTGGATATGGGGTAACCTACACAAGGTACGTATTAACTCAAGCCTATTATGTCATCATACTGTACTCTGTAGTACACTTACATGTAAACATACACTGTGTGGGTGTATATATATATATATATATATATAGTAGGTGTACATGTTAATAAATCGTGTATTTATATATAGTAGGCCGACATTTAAACACACACTGTATTTATATCCATATGAAATAGACCTACATGTATGTAAACAAACCATGTATTTATAATTTTAATGAACTTTCTCCGCCAATGCAGGGATCGAACACCCGACCGCCAGGCTAGTGAGCCAGCATCTTACCCACTTAGCCACGTGATCCCACGTATATAAATAGAATCAGAGTTATTATTTTATAGATGTTTTATTTTCAGTTACCAAGTAACACTGAAGACAGAATGAAATATGTCGAATCACTGTTATTGAAATATCCCAAATTCTATCGCACGTGGGCAAGTCTGCTGAAACCGGTCATACAACTTAATCATCCTGACACGATAAAAGTTTTATTGAAAACATCAGGTAAATAGATCTAATATACGACGTGAAGGTCTATATATGCATGCAGAACGGAGGGCCTGACAAGGACAGCTGTCTAGTCGTTCGGATGGGACGAAAAAAACCCGAGGTCCCGTGTATACATTGGCGTGCACGTAAAAGATTCTTTGGCAGTTGGAAATCGATATGAGTGAGTCATAGTGCCGCTGCCCGGGCACAATTCCCCTCATAGCGCGTTGTATGGCGTATGCCCGTCTCCATTAGCCCAGTCGGAGCTAAAAAGTAGGACGTTAAACCCCATTTCATATATGCATGGTAGCCGCGGTTGCCGAGTGAGTAAGACATTGGGTCGCTAGTCCGCAGGTTCCGTGTTCAATCATGATGTTAACTGAGAAAGTTCTTCGAGATTTCCCGGCGTGGTACCCCGTTGTCAGTGGTGCAGGACAGCGGGCCTGGCAAGGGAAACGTCTAGTCGTTCGGCTGGAACGACAAGCCCACGACGTTGGACACTGGAACCTAGTCCTTACCACGTGCAAGCGGGGAATCGAAATTAGGCGACTTGACTCAATGACAGACCGTATGATCCAAGGCACGCGTGTTAAACCCTCCTGAAGTACTACGTTGGAGTACCGCTTAACTCCTTTTATTTCCCATTTGCGGATTTGGAAAGGAATGGAATGACAAAACGTATCTTGTTTCTTGTTTCAGAGCCTAAACCTAGAGGAATAGGTGGAGCTTATGAGTTTGCTATACCTTGGTTAGGTGAAGGCCTGTTGTTAGCCAGTGGTAAGAGGTGGGCTAGATCCAGACGACTTCTAACTCCAGCATTCCATTTTGATATTCTAAAACCGTATGTTAAAATCTACAATGAGGCAGCTGATATTTTGATCGTGAGTCTAATATCAATATTATTTATTAATACTATTAGAATCGTCACCCCTTGGGTCTGGGCACAGGTCAGACTGATCAGCAGTGAATATTCGATAGGCCGCGACAATCACTGATGAGGATGACATCAATGCGACTTAATGAGCCCCTAATATTAACTTTTTTCCTCCGAAAAATTAAATTCTAAAACATTTTTGTTATGTATTAGAAAAATAAATAAAGACGTTTGAAGTATTTTTAGGTAAAAATTATTTCCTGTTTACTGTAAATGGGTATTAAAATGAGTAAAAGGCACCATTCTGCCCTAACCAGTAACGTGTTATGTAAACAATGCTCGGCCATTGAGCCAATGATTGACGCCGCGTGATATGGCGTCATGTGTTGAAGGCAGTCATTTTTTTTACAGAGATATTAGAAGACTTTCGTAATCCTCTGGGAAACAAATTCGGCACAGGATCGTAACAACGAAATTTATAAAGTAGGAACAGTTAGAGTATAGCGAGCCAAAATGGAGCCCCGGAAATCAGATTAAAATGGAGACCCTATTTCGTTTTGCTTTTTTGAGTTGTTCAAAATTTTGGTTAAAAGGTCCGGAGTCACGGGACCGTCTAAAGAATAAAAAAAACGAAACGAAATATAAATCTGTATTTTAATCATATTAGGATTCGGGGCCATTTTATTGTTTGGGGTGGTTTGTGTGGTCTAACGGGCCTAGTCGCCATTTGGGTTGCCTTTTCTTCTTCTGGACTATTCGTTTGTGAACAGGACCAGTCATTTATGACTTTATAAAACTTGCGGAGTTAAACTTGTTGGTTTTTGAAATATTTAATCTGGTAAAACAAAAATAAAAATTAAACTGATAGATCAAGCTTAATCTGGTGTTTATTATGAAGACATTTTGTCGATTGAACTGGACATTAAAATAGTTCTCGTATGGACTGTAAATCGCCAATCAATGAATCGCCCTCATTCTGAAAGCCATACACGTGACAGTTGCAATATTAAAACACACCCCACCCCACCCCTTACACACACATCCCTATACCACCCCCCCCCCCCGAACACACACACACTCACCCTACACACACTGCATGGCGTGCATCTGACTTCAATATCTCGAATCAGAGCACACGACTAGAACGTTAACCCCCACTTCATTTCATTTCTTTTTTTTCCTTTCAGAGTAAAATTGATCAGTATGCTGAGACAGGAGAAAGTTTTGAACTATTTAGTTTAATATCACTCTGTACCTTAGATGTTATATTACAATGTGCTATGTCTTATACGGGAAATATCCAACTTGAAGGGTGAGTTATATTACAATATAGGACATATTCAACTTGAAGGGTGAGTTATTTTACAATATATATAGGAAATATTCAACTTGAAGGGTGAGTTATTTACCTGTTCAATTAAAACATATTTCTTGTTAGTATCTAAACAAAGAACTAGAACTGCGAAGCAGCTATGACGGGTTTCATCGGCGCTATGTGAAACCCTAAAGCCAGAAATTCAAAAACGAAACCTCGAAGCTCTATTTCGCCCCAAAACTGTGTTATTATACACACAATTTCGTTTGTAAATTGAAAATACAAACTGTTTATAACAAAAACTGTTGTAGCGATGCGAACTCAAGAAATAAGAAATGTCATTGGTGTCGCAGTTCGTTTTCTTGAATTCATTCCTGCTAGTTTAGAATTTGAATACATTGACTTTCTCTTTCAGTGAAACGCATCCGTATGTACAAGCTGTTAATGAATTGTCTGAATTGTGGTTTAATAGAGGAAGGTACCTGTACTATTTTCTTTACTAATATATTTTGTATTATGTGTTCACGTTAGTCTGTTGCATTAATTTTTTGGATCACGTATTAATTTGTTCGGTCATGTATTGATTTGATTGGTTTATATATTAATATTTTGGTTCGTGTATTAATTATTCGGTTCATATATTAATTTCTTTAGATTATGTATTCATGTTTTTTTTTTGATCATGTATTCATTTTTTGCAAGCTTCAATAATAAACTATATGAATCGACCATAACGTCATATCGGAGGGTCGACCAAGGGAGCTGTGGTTTATGGAAACAGTGCCTAAGCATTCTAGTCCAGTGCCCTTTAGAAATGAATTTATCGAAGTTCGCTTATCTTGCAAAATATCTCATGGAATTTGCAGTTCGATATAAAAGAGTCTGACTGTACTTTGTTTCAGGAATCCCTTTCTGTATCCTGATTTTATTTACTATAATACCAAGAATGGAAAACGGTTTGCAGAACAGTGTGATTATGTTCACTCAGTCTCAGAAGACATCATCGAGAAACGACGACAAACTTTAGTAAGTTGCAGATTTTGAACCAACTTGAATCGGGCGTTGGATTGGTAATGTTTATGAGTCATTCCATGTCAAGTGGGTCAATTTTCAGAAATCGACCCCCTCGAAGAAATCTGGAAATAACATGTAGAATATGTAGAATAATTATAACATATATTTTTTTCCCGATTTTTCGAGGGGGTCGATTTCCCACCCCAAATCCACTTGACATGGAATGGCCCTTATTTAATAATAATAGAACATAAAACATGATGTCCAAAGCGGAAACGCCACTGCCCAGTCAAAATGTCCCACATGGAACCCTGCATGACATATGCCCAACTTCATTAGCCAGGATGCTTAAAGAAATAAGATGTTAAACTCCATTTCATTTCATTATTTTTGATATCTAGTTGTCGGTTTTTAACAGGAGAGAGAAGGACCAACCAAAAAGAGATATTTAGATTTTCTAGATATTCTACTAACAGCTCGAGATGAAACTGGTGTTGGATTATCACAGTTAGAAATCAGAAATGAAGTGGATACGTTTTTATTTGAAGGTTGACTTTAAGTTTATCGATATTATCACTAAAATCATTATTCAGATTTATCTTTATTTGTCATCTCACTAAAATCATTAACCAAAACTAACTGTAAACTGGTTGAATATGTAACGAGGAGGCGCTCACTGACTCGTGCTCGACAACCCTTACCTCACCATACTCACCCCGTGCCCCACAAACATCGCCATGCATTACTCATCTCGTGCCCTACAACCCTTACCACTGAGCATCTAATGCTCAACATGCCTGTTACCAATCTGTTTCACAGAGATTTTTTAATATCTCTGTTACAGATGACTGTTTCGACACGTGACGTCACATCACGCGGCGTCCATCATTGGCTCAATAGCGCGTGCATTGTTTACATAAGACGTCACGGATTCGGGCTAAATGGTGAATTTTACTTATTTTAATATCCATTTACACTAAATAGGAAATGACTTTTACCTACAAACAATTCAAACGACTTTTATTTATTTTTCTAATAAATGAAAAAAATGTTTCAGAATTTAATTTGTCGAAAGAAAAAAGTTAATATTTTGTAGTCATTAAGTCGCATCGATGTCATCCTTATCAGTGATTGTAGAGGCCACGCGAATATTCACTGCGGATCAGTGTGGCCTGTTACTTGACAACCCTCGCCACTAAGCATCTAATGCTCGACAACCCTGCTGCTTGAAAACTCTCACCACTGAACATCTAATGCTCGACAAACCTGGTGTTTGACAACCCTCACCACTGAGCATCCAAGGTCAGACAAACCTGGTGTTTGACAACCCTCACTACTGAGCATCCAAGGTCAGACAACCCTGGTGCTTGACAACTCTCACCACTTAGCATCTAATGCTCGACAACCCTCGAGCTTGACAACCCTCACCACTGAGCATGATCTTTTGAAAATGCGTGTTTTGTTTACATCAGTGAGATGAATAAGCTCCTTGAATTTCATGAATTTCTGATAGTAACATTCAGCGATTTGGCGTTTAAAAAATCTTGTGAACGCCCTGGACTTCCTAGCGACAATGTTATCACCCGATTTCCTTGATATGTATTCCCGTTGGTTACTTGGCGTTTGTAAAATCTTGTGAGTGCCCTAGCGACAACGTTATCATCTGAACTCCTTGATATATATTCCCGTTGGTTACTTGTAGCTCTAATAATTAACAGGTCATGATACAACAGCTAGTGCCATATCTTGGATATTATATTCCCTTGCTCAACATCCTCAATATCAACAAAATGTACGGGATGAAGTAGATGACATTTTAAACAGTAAACAAGGTGACAATCTTGAATGGTAAGAAATTCTGATATTTTTTAAGTATACTGTATCACAATTAAAATCATTGAGTTAACTGGCGTGGTTTCGAATTCCCGGTTTTACGTGACAAGGAGTAGGGTTGCCTTCCAACCTCGTGGGTTTTCTCCGGGTCCTCCGGTTCCCACCCACTGCTAAAGACCACTAAGCGCAAGCGAATTATTGAAATAAAATTAAAACAACCGTTAGTCCTGAAATGACCTAGCAAATGATAGTAGCAAAAACAATATTACTAGTTGCATGGAACTTGTTTCTGGTTTAAAAAAACTACAAAAAGTCGCAGTCGTCACACCCGTTTGTCGATCTGTCCTTCCGCCTGGCGTCCACAATTGCCTTTAGGCACCACAGAGGCTTAATTTATCAGCCAATTGCTTTGAAAATGATACGCATTTTTAGCTACCATTAACGATAAAAGAATAAATATGCCACAATTTTTGTGGAGCTGCACGGACGACTTAGCTGCTGTGTGAATATTGGATGGCAACCTATTTTTATTTATTTTCAGGGGCGATCTGAATAAATTAGACTATTTAAGTCGCGTTATCAAAGAAGGGATGCGGCTACATTGTCCTGTTCCATTTGCTCAGCGTCAGTTAACCCAGGATACAGAATTAGATGGTCACGTGATTCCTGAAGGAACAGCTTGCTCAATTCATCTCATTAATCTTCATCATAATCCTTTAATCTGGTCTGATCCTTGGGAGTTTCAACCAGATCGTTTCCTGCCACAGAATACGACTGGTCGTGACAGTTATGCTTTTGTTCCATTTTCAGCAGGCCCAAGGTGAGTAATGAATTGAAATCGGGTTAAACGTCCTACTGTTCTGCTCTGACTGGGCTAATGAAGAAGGGCATACGCCATACAGTCTGCTATGAGAGAAATTGCACTATGGCTTACTATTATATCGAATTCTAACTGTCAAGGGATCTTTTACGTGCACGCCTATGTATATACGAGACCTCGGTTTTTCGTCCCATCCGAACGAATAGACAGCTGCCCTTGTCAGGCCATCCGTCCTGCACCACTGACAAGGAGAAAATCCCGATGAGGGTGAGCAATGATCAAAATTAAATTCTCACCATTTATTGTTGTGAACAGTTTAAAGAGGCATGCATTGAGTCAACTTGAGTGGTTTCGATTCCCAGGTTGTACGTGACAAGAGTAGGGTCGCCTGTCCATCAACGTGGGTTTTCTTCGGGCTCCCCGGTTTCCACCCACTGCTAAAGATCCCTACGCGCAAGCGAATTATTGAAATAAAGTTTAACCATATGTTGGTCCATAAATGACCTAGTTTGTGTCCATCAACGTGGGTTTTCTCCACCCACTGCTAAAAATCCCTACGCGTAAGCGATTTATTGGAATAAAATTGAACCATATGTTAGTCCCGAAATGACCTAGTTTGTATCGAGTGGACGTTAAACCCCATCTCTCTCTCTCGCTCTCTCTCTCTCTCTTGCATTAGGTATCTGCCTATTGCGAGTCCCTTTTCTGACTTCAGATATCATTTAAATTTTTATTTAGAGCTTATTCACATAGCAAGGCAATACTCAACTCTCTAGAACATTTGATGGCCGAGGTAATCAGTTGATTAAAACATTCGCGCCATTGCATAATTTGACGTGTTATTTAGCCTCCACACATAGTTTTGGTCAACATGTTGCTGCCATCTTTGTATTTTGATATAAATTGATATAAATATACTTAGATGAATTTGGTTTTATTCCAGAAATTGTATTGGACAACACTTTGCCCTGAACGAAGAAAAGATTCTTATATCCAGGATAGTTCAAAGGTATGATTATATGTACTCGTAGTTAGATGAAATAAAATAAAACCAAGTATGAACAATCCAAACCATTAGACAAACGGTATAAGTCCAAAATATTCATATTCCAATGGGCATTTACTAAGAAAATACAAATATATTCGGCACCCTCCGCTAACGATATGACGACAAGATGATAGGTAACATCCTTGGCTGGACCTCTTTTTGATACGGGGAGTTGGGTGTCCGAATGATTAACGCGTGTGCGTTGCATCATAAGGTCTGTCATTGAATCAAGTGGCGTGGTTTCGATTCCCGGTTGTACTTGACAAAGAGTAGGATCACCTGTCCAACCTCTCGGGTTTTATCCCGGTCCTCCGGTTTCCTCCCACTGTTAAAGAACCCTACCCGCAAGCGAATTATTGACATAATTACTAGAGGACCCGGAGACTGGGCAGGCGACAAAATTAACATATTGCACCATTTGTGATATATAGTAAAATAAAAACTACCACATCAATTTATTTCATTTTGAAAAATGAATTATATAATATTTCAGATATGAGTTAAAGGTTGACCCGAATCACGTGGTTCGAAGAAAAACGGCTGCCGTTATGAGATCAGAAACTGGAATCAAATTAACAGCTACCAGAAGACATTAACAGCTACCAGAAGACAATAACAGCTACCAGAAGACATTAACAGCTACCAGAAGACAATAGGCTGACCTATGTTGATATATGTCTTAACTTTAAAATTAAACAGCTACCAGAAGACAATAAGCTGACCTATGTTGATATATGTCTAACTTCAAAATTAACAGCTACCAGAAGACAATAGGCTGACCTATGCTGAAATATGTCTAACTTCAAAATTAAACAAAATTCCGCCGAGATTAGAAGATAAGAAATATTGATTGATATATTACTTATGCCTGGTTCCCACTGTCGTGCGATGCGTTATGGTAGGATTGTCCCTACTGAGTCCACGATCTGCTACGTGCAGATACGTTCGGATACGTTTCGATACGATCAACACGATTGCTACGACTGGCCTCAATATATTATAAAACTGTAGGATCACCACAATTACTCCACGATTTTAATCATAGCGCGAATCGTGATAGTGGGAACCTAGCATTAATTTGATAGCATTCTCGATGTATACCTCGCCAGACCGGGATGGTGTCCCGTACGGCGACCAGAAAATGCACAATGTCGCTGGCAAACGTGAACACAGTGCGAGAAAATGTGAATCCGTGATCACTGGCGACCATGGAGACCACATCGCGATTTCTGGCGTTTCCACCATGCTTTTACCACGCTTATGGCGACCTTGACGCGCTCTGGGACCATTTTCAGTCGCCGTAATAGCACAGTAAGGACGCCACCCCGGTCTAAAGTCTCTGGTTTTCATTTGAAGGATTTTGTAACTCTTACAAACTACATGTCCAAAACAAACGCCAAGGTTCTGCGATCTGCCCTGGAAAGATGTCAAAACGCGATGTTTTTCAAGTTTGTAATATTTTGGGACACGTTTGCCAGCGATCTTTTGCATTTTGTGGTCGCCGTACGGTCGCTGCTGCGCAGTAAGGACGCCACCCGGTCTGACGGGGGCATTACTAACTACAATATTGTAAAAATATCGCTGGTTTTGATTTTGTTTTCTTAATTAAATCTTTACTAATCAATAATGTCTAAAAACCGACAATAACTATCAATCTGATTACAACACAGATCCTATTTCGTTTTCATTTTTAAATTTCAAAATTTCGTTTTACTTGTCTTTACCACACTAGGATCTGGAAGAGTTGTTATATTACCCGTGTTCTGAATGATGTGAGCCTTGTGATGGATTAGCCAATGAAACGGTCTGTTTTTGGCGTGAGGTGCACGGAACTGTGGGTAACCCACTAAAACAACAACGCTGATTGGTTAATCAAATGCCTGACGGTATAGGGCCAAAAGTCGCTCGTATGACCTCTAACGCGACCTTCCGCTAAAACTAGTCAGATCTTCATGTAGTGGAAGCCATCAAAAGTATTAAAAAAACGAAACGAAATATAGATCTGTATTTTAATCAGATTGCAATGACTATCAACGGCTTTAGAGTTAAGCTATTTTTTGTTATTGCAAATATTAAGGATTGTAATACAACGCAAAAACTATTACAAGAGATCAAATTATTATTTTTTTTTAAATACTCAAGTCATTCTTATGTTACGTTCAGGTTTATCATATCAAATGTTTCACGTAAATGATGTATAGTCTATTACATAAAATGTTCCATTATTCTGACTGTTCCGTTGACGTTCTGTGGTTATTTAGGTCCGTTTATTTCCGCAAACTATGCTGGCGGTTCAGTCGAATGGATAACACTATTAAAGCTATGTATTCGTTAGGTATTAGTACATCACCAGTCTATAACATGATATTTATATTATTCCGGCGCTTAAACCGCATGGATAACACCATTAAAATTATGCATTTGTTTAAACATGATATTTGCATTATTATGTTTGATTCTAGTATTTCACCAGAATGTTTGCCATTCCGCCGCATACAAAAAGCACTTAAAGCCATGTATTCTTTTAGTACTACAAATTATCCAGTCTTTAAATTCACATTTCCATCAGTTCAGTCTCATGGATAATCGCATTAGTACTAATGAGAGAGAGCGAGAGAGCGAGAGAGTGGGGGGGGGAGAGTTTAACGTCCACTCGACACAAACTAGGTCATTTCGGGACTGATATATTTTAATAATTCGCTTGCACGTAGGGGGTCTTTAGCAGTGGGAGGAAACCGGGGGACCTGGAGAAAACTCACGAGGTTGGACAGGCGACCCTACTCCTTGTTACGTACAACCGGTGAATGGAAACCAAGCCAGTTGACTCAATGGCAGACCCTATGATAGAGCGCACACGTGCTAAACATTCAGCCATCCAATCCCCCTAGAAATAATGAAGACGGGATTAACAAAAACAACGTTTTAAAAAAATCTTACTTAATCTTACTTTTAAGTTTAGACACAATCTATTCATAAGTACGATAAATGTTATTATTCTAATACAAAATAATAAAAAACCCAATGTTTATTCTGGATATTATTTCTTTTTTTATGTGTCTATCGACAACCTGTTTCCATTAAAACATTAAATATATTTGTGAACAATGCGTTATTAACAATATCCAGCGACCTCAAACAACAATGGATACCATTCTAACTTAATTAAATAACATTTGTCTTTGATGTTCCGATATTAAAAATAAAATTAGGATATTTAATGGTTAATTCTGACATTTATCAAAATTTGTGGCTGCTCAAATAATCATTTTATTCTGGAGGACAGGGAAATAGTCATGCGTTTCACATTCGTGCTCGTTTTGGTATTAGTTTTTGGTTTTGTGTGCATCAGTGATGTTCATCCACATGCTGAAAGTAGAGAAGCTGGAAGTCCATTCTGTGATATAATTTGCCAAATAGGAAATTCTAATCCGTATTATAAACCATGCAAGTGCATTAAGTACTATTTTAACACAGAAATCCATCTACCTCATACTTCCAGAATAGATCTCTGCATTAAATGGTCGCCATATCTAAAAATGAGTATACTGTTTTGTAACGCGTTTCTTCCCCGTTTCACATCTGGCAAATACACAAAGACTAAATAAACTTTCTCAATTTTATTAAATTTTTAACATATTCTCTTTACATTATCTACCTTTTAACTATTATAGTGAGAACTGCCAGCTCTTTATCTAATCTCCCATAATGCATCTTTAATATACACGAAGACAAAAAAACTGGATCTATAAAACCATCTACAATTTCTAATTAGCGTCAACCTAAATTATATCAAAAACATTGACTTTACTTCCGTATTCACCGGGGAAAAACTTGATGAGAAAGACAAAGACTTTTTAGATAAAATTGTAAATAAAATGATATTATTATTTCACCTGTCAAGATTTCTTTGATTCTGTAGCTTCTGTAGATTAAAGTAGATAAAAATGGTGAACAACTGACAACATAGATGCAAGCTACGGAACAAACAATACTTGATAAAGTACAAGGAAGGTGGGTAAATATTACCATGACAACGTAAACTTTGCCATATTAGGTTAATAACTTGGCATCTGTTTCGGTATATGAAGACGGTTTTGTGCTAAATGATTAGGCCAAATCAAATTTTTGTCACAGGTTACGAGTTCTAAATAGGGCTAGCGCTAATCCCAACCCCAACCCTCGCCCTGGGCCTAGCCCCAATGCTTAACCTAACCTAACCGTGCCATCCGAACGACTAGACAGCTGTCATTGTCAGGCCTTCCGTCCTGCACCACTGACAAGGGCAAACCGAGCCAGGACAAAATTGTCCGCATAGCACACTGTATGGCGTATGCCCGTCTTCATTAGCCCAGTCGGAGCAGAACAGTGGGCCGTTAAACCTCATTTCATTTCATTTTTGTATTTGGCACTCAAGGTCATAAACTTAATTTCTTTTTATTATTCTTCAATTTTCTATTGCAGAATGTGATAATATTATAGGAAGATTAAAACGTTTTTTAAAAAAACATTAAAAATGTTGTTTAAGCCTGTTACTTTGTTCATCTTAAAAATCCATTCAGCGGGGTTGGGTGGAGGAATGGTTAGCGCGTGCGCGTTGTATCATAAGGTCTGTAATTGAGTCAGCTGGCGTGGTTTCGATTTTCCGGTTGTACGTGACAAGGAGTAGGGTTGCATGTCCAACCTCGTGGGTTTTCTCCGGGTCCTCCGGTTTCCTCCCACAGCTAATGACCCCTACGCGCAAGCGAATTATTGAAATAAAATTGAATCATATGTTAGTCCCGAAATGACCTGGTTTGTATCTAGTGGACGATAAACTCGGGTGGACTATAAACCCCATTTCTCTCTTTCTCTTAAAAATCCATTCACAAACACTGCCCAATGCCATGATGAGATCACGTTAACAGGGAAAGACTTACTGGTTCTGTGCCATGATATTGAGAGTTAGCTCCCTTTAGTTGGTGAATTTGCACATCTTGTTCAGGGGATTATTATTCTGTACGGTATGACAAATGGATAATCTAGCCGATGACATAGCTATTCTCAAATGTTGACAACGGACCCATGCTAATATTCGTAGAATATTTTTCTGGATGATGGAGACTATAAACTTATCAGTCGACACCAGGGAATACTCAATTGGTTTCACGTGGTTTGTCGCATTTTCTTAATGTGCCGTTCAAAATTAGGAAGATCTCGCGGCAAACATGTGTGCAGCGACAACTGGTTAAAATCACTGCGGTAGGGTTATCAACGCTTTATATGGGTGACGTCATATCTTCATTTGTGTAATGGATAGGAACTGGCTTTAAATACTCCCAGTTACTAATGCTAACACATGATTGGTTATTGTCTGTGGCTGTCAGGTGACATTGGGGAGAACAAGAACACACCCACACCCGAGCCTGGACAGTCTACCCTACTGTTTGTCAGTACAAGTTCCACTTAACACACGCTAGGTTTTTTCAGGACTGCGAGCCATAGTGGCTAAGAAAGCAAGACGCTCGATCGCTAGGATGGATGTCGAGAAAGTTTCCCATTGTCAGTGGTGAAGGATTGAGGGCCTGACAAGGACAACTGTCTAGTGATTCGGATGGGAGGACAAAACGAGGTCCCGTGTACACATTTGTGTATATGCAAAATTCCCTTGGCTGTTGAAATTCGATATCAGAGTAGGCCGCAGGGCCCCTGTCCAGGTAAAATTTCCCGCATAGCACACTGTATGGCGTATGCCCGTCTTCATTATCCCAGTCGGAGCTGAACAGAAGGACGTTAAACCCCATTTCATTTTATTTTATTTCAGGACTAATGAACGGTATAAATCCTTCTCCCTTAAGAAATCATTTACATTGGTTAAAAATTACAATCATAAATAATACACTGGTATACGGTAGAAAGAAAATGATGTCTTTTCTCAATTAATTAACCCAAGACCAGAGAGAGTCTAACATATGTTTCAATTTTATTTCAATAATTCGCTTGCTCGTAGAGATCTTTAGCAGTGGGAAGAAACCGGAGGACCTGGAGAAAACGCACGAGGTTGGACAGGCTAGCCTCTTCCTTGTCACGTACAACCGGGGAATCGAGACACAGCCAGTTGACTCAATAACAGACCTTATGATAGATTCGTGTTAGAATTGACTGTTGATATTTTGTTTTCTTAATCAAATATTTTAACAGTTATTAAAATCTTCGCCGTTATTAACCCCCTGACAAATTATATATTATTGTCTGAAAATAATGACCAACGGCTTTAAATATGTAGCTAGTCATATTTTTATAAAGTCACGCTTAATTTTACAAATAAACGTGGCCGAAGAAAGATTAAAAACTCTTTCTTCGTGACCATTTACCACACCACGAATTACCGGATAATAAACACGATAAAGATGGCGAACATGAGAAGCATCAGGATGACGACAAGATCTCCTCTACGTTATTAAACCATTTTATATTAAATTAAATGAAGGGAATAACAAGTGATGTTGGCAATTAACGTACATATGTGTAGACCGTCGGAGACATTGAGTCGTCTAATTTCTATAGTCTAAAGTGAATCCAAACACTTTTCCCATTAATTCCACAAACATACACGCTTCAATTACACTATATTATTGTAACCATCGATGTTTTTGGTCTATCTTTGTGTGCGGGATGTCACGTATCTCAACGGTTTTCCATTTTAGAAATTAATATATTATTTCTGGAATTGTTTCATGTCACCGTGCCTGTCACGGTCTTTTGGAAAGTAATGGGGTTTAAAGTCCTGTTTATCTGCATCACTCTGAATAAATACGGCATGAAATTTTTTCCGGACACCGGCGATCTGCCCACACTTCATCGAATGCAAACTGCCAATAGGTTTTTTGAAGTTCACGTCAACGTGTACGTGTAACCCCATTCCAAAGAGCTGGTGCCCTCCCTTACTTCCCAGGCACTTCGTGATTCATCACTGACCAGGGGAAATCATGCTGGCTGTAGAGATTCGAGAAACTTTCGTGGTCCAACACCTTGCACGAACCCACACTGATCAGCAGTGAATTTTCGCTAGGCCGCTACAATCACTGATAAGGATGGCATCGATGCGACTCAATGACCAGAAATATTAGCTTTTTTCCTGCGACAAATTAAATTCTAAAACATTTCATTTTTTTTATGTATTGGAAAAATAAATAAAGGCGTTTGACGTGTTTGTAGGTAAATATTATTTCCTATTTAGTGTAAAAGTGTATTAAAATGACTAAAAGGCAACATTCTCTCCGAAGCAGTAACCTCTTATGTAAACCATGCACGCGCCATTCAGCCAATGATTGACGCCGCGTGCTGTGACGGCACGTGTTAAGACAGTCGTCTTTGACAGAGATATTACTAATACTAGACTCGTAATTCTCTGTGAAACAGATTGGAACGAACCCTAGTCTTCATGGTTAATGGTCCAACACCTTGAACGAACCCCGGTCTTCAGGGTTAATGGTCAGACACCTTGAAGGAACCCCGGTCTTCATGGTTAATGGTCAAACACCTTGAACGAACCCCGGTCTTCAGGGTTAATGGTCCAACACCTTGAACGAATCCCAGTCTTCATGGTTAATGGTCAGACATCTTGAACGAACCTCGATATGGTTAATGGTACTTTGAACGAACCTCGGTCTTCATGGTTAATTGTAACACACCTTGAAAGAACCCCAGCTTTCAGGGTTAATGGTCCAACACCTTGAAAGAACCCCACGCTTCAGGGTTAATGGTCAGACAACTTGAAAGAACCTCGGGCTTCATGGTTAATGGTCCAAAACCTTGAACGAACCCCGGTCTTCATGGTTAATAGTCCAACACCTTGAACGAATCCCAGTCTTCATGGTTAATGGTCAGACATCGTGAACAAACCTCGGTCTTTATGGTTAATGGTACTTTGAACGAACCTCGGTCTTCATGGTTAATGGTCACACACCTTGAACGAACCCCGATCTTTATGGTTAATGATCCAACCCTTTACGCAAAGACCAATTTTTTCCTGAATTTTAAAAGCATCAACTTTTTGTATT